GGATTCTGTGTCTCCTCTCCACCCTGCCCCCACTCGTGCTCTGTCTCACTCTGTCTCTCAAAAATAAATAAATGTAATAAAAAAAATTAAAAAAAAATAAGTCTGAGCAATGGAGATTCTGATGTAATATATCACAGCTTGTCAGCTCTGGCACTGCAGTTTTATTCTATTAACTCACTACACCTATTTTTTTAGACTTTATTACCAATTTAATAAATATATTGGTCAGGTGTCAGTACTCTTGGATCTTCTTGTATGGTGCTCGTGTATTTATTGTAACCTGTTTATAGTAAATCTCTGGGAGAGCCATAGAGCTGGGATGAATCTGTCCCTTCCTATGTTCTGCCAGGAAAAGGAGGGAGTTAGGTGGTTCTTGAAAGTGTAGGTGAACCCTACTGTCCTCAAAGTAAGAGATGTCTTCACCCCTGGTAATTAAAGCTGTAAAATATTAACCAGACATGTGCTTTGGCATATTCAGTAATCATTTATTAAATGCCTAGTTTGTACCAGATGACTCTCCCTAGTACAGGATTTAAAAAGTGAAAAGCAACCAATCCTTGTTCCTGTCACAGAGTTGACTCTAACTGGTGAGACAATAGTTGTATAAATGATAAATATTCATAATGCAATGTGCTCAGTATTATAAGAAGTAGATATAGGAGACTTTGGGGACCTCTAACTCAGATACTGAGTTTGGTGAAGGAAGTAGAATGTCTGAGCTGAATGGATAAGTGGCATTTGGTTATGGAGGCAAAGGGATAAAGGACATCACTGACAGAACAGCTTGTAAAGTGCATGGAGTTGTGAAAAGTAAGGGATTTGGAGATGCAGGTAGCTTAGTCTTGCACAGGGTGTTTTTGGTAGCAGGATGGAGGATGAGGCCTGAAAGGAAGGAAGGAGCCCAATGTTTCAGGGCTGTGATTGCTGTGTTAGGCAGTTTAGAAGCCTGTCCCATAGATGGTTCCTGATTTGTGTTAGCACTTTTCAATAATAAGTTAATGAAAATTGAGTAAACTATGCTAAATTTCTTAAGTTTACTGTGTATTTCCAGATGTCAGAATAATATCCATGTTTATAAGATCATCTTGGTGATTCATGGGTTTGAGCACTTAATGATTTACCTGTACCTAAATGCATTAGCTCTATTCTTAATAAGTTTCATTGAAATATAATTTACTTGCAATACCAGTTTTACAAGCACAACTCACTGAGTTTCGACAATTGTATACAGTCCTATAATTGCCACCGCCCTAATCATGATACAGTAAATTATGCATATACAGTATATTATGCATTAGCTTTTAAATTAGATTTTGGTACACTAAATAAATTAACTCTTTGAACCCTAACCCTGGAAGATGTAATCTTTGAAGGACAGAGACATAAAAAGCCATCAACCTTAAACCAGCAAAAAAGTTTTTTTCTACAAAGCCCATATAAAAAGAGAAGCTCTATATAAATGCTTCTTTTGGGGGGTTTTGTCTCTTGAAATCTTCAGAAGGAAGAGGAGGAAGTAAGAAGCAACAGTAAGAAATTGTCTACAAAGTGAGTGCTGTAATGTTATATAAAAATGTTTGGGGGTGAAGGAAGAAAAAGCACCAAGAATACAGAACCACAATTTTAGATACTGAACTGGAAACCTCAGACTTGAGCTCTACCAAAATCTCTGATACTTAATAACAGAGTTCAAGAAGCAGTCTCACTTGTCTGAGGTCTTGGTTTTCTCACTCATCAAATGGGGAATTGAGTGGCATATTTCAAGCTGTATTATGCAGGATGTTAGAGTTTTGTGAGGCGTGGGTAGAAGTTACAGGTTGAGGACAGGAGAACTAGAAACTAGGGCTAACTTCTAAATTGGGGAATAGTTGGAGTTAGGTTTTGATGCCAACAGATGGCAGAGAAAGTGTATTTCCTGACCTCAATTGTATTTCCGTGTATTCAGCTGACCTTTTATGGACTGTCACAGCATTGGAGGCTAGGACTTAACAATTCTCTCTGTAATTCTGCCTTGCAACTGTGATTCAGAATGAATAAAGGGGACTTTCTCCAGGGGAATAAATATTGTCATTAAGCCACCAGATTTTTTTCTTTCCTGGAAGTTATTACATTTAAGAATAAAATATATGTTTGAATATGAGAGATATGAAGGTTTGTATTTTTAAAAAATTACTTTATCCATCTTATTTGTTTTTTTAACCAGTTACCCATGGGTGTATTGTTTCTACAATAAAACTTTTTCTACCAGATGGTATGGAAGCCCGGCTCCGCTCAGAGTGAGTATAATTTAGTTTTTGTTTCAACTACCTTGGTTAATAATATTCTAGATGATGGTATACTGTTAACACTTGAGGATTATTCTAATAATGGTAGAAAATTAATGCAGTGCGTTTACAATATAATATACTTCATTTTAATTCCTTTTCGTGTTAGCTACAATTCTAGTAAATAATAATGTATAAGGAGGCAGGTTATTTTGTTTCCAAAGTTAACTTTACAGTTTATATTTTGATGGATAATTAGTTGTTTTTAAATTTTTTTTTTAACGTTTATTTATTTTTGAGACAGAGAGAGACAGAGCATGAACAGGGGAGGGGCAGAGAGAGAGGGAGACACAGAATCTGAAACAGCCTCCAGGCTCTCAGCTGTCAGCACAGAGTCTGACGCGGGGCTCGAACCCACGGACTGTGAGATCATGACCTGAGCCGAAGTCGGACGCTTAACCGACCAAGCCACCCAGGCACCCCAATTAGTTGTTTTTAAAATATTTAGGGTATGTAAGTCACTGGTGAATGATAACTGTATGAAAAAAAATTTTTTTTTAAATTTAGTTTATTTTGAGAGAGAGTACAGATAGGGGAGGGGCAAAGACAGAGGGAGAGAGAATCCCAAGCCCTGATGCAGGGCTTGAACCCACAAACTGTGAGATCATGACCTGAGCTGAAACCAAGAGTTGGATGCTTAACCAACTGAGCCATCCAGGCACCCCTAGAAATATTATTTTTAACGTTTATTTATTTATTTTGAGAGAGAGAGTGCTCACACTCGTGTGGGTGAGAATGGGAGAGGGTCAGCAAGAGAGGAGAGACACAATCCCAAGCAGGCTCTGCTCTGTCAGCACAGAGCCTGAAGTGGGGCTCCATTCACGAACCCTGAGATCATGACCTGAGCTGAAATCAAGTCTGGCGCTTAACCTACTGAGCCATCTGGGTGCCCTGAGTGGTAACTGTATTTTGATCTGCATTTAATAGAGGATTCTTAAAGTATAATTCCCTCTGAAGTTAATGCCAGTGTCATCATCTTTTAGGACCTTGAGGGGTGTTGATATAGTTAGTAGCCTATTTTGATGGGAATTTTGGAGGGATTTTCCAATGCTGCATTTTTTTTTTTTTTCCTGAAGCAGTGAAAGATTACTTAGAGGAAGACAAATATGAAAGAGAAGAGTTACTCATAAAATGTAAATGTTAAGATCTAAACATAAGTACATTTTAATCTTGGAGCTTTTCACAGATTATCATTATGTAGTAATCATTAATTAAACCATTTTTTTATTGGGGGGGAAGACCTTGAATATGCCAGAAGCTTTTTTCTATACCCAGCATAATACTTTTTATCCTTCAAAAGCAAAGGCAAAGATCTGAGGATGGGAGGTTAAGATAAGCAGTAAGTTGAAGGCAAAGTAGAGTAGTGAGAGGAAAGAATGAAAAAGAAAGCAGAGAGGCTCTCCTATTACCATGACAGTCTGTGCTTTCATTAGAATTACTATATATTTTGCTTCAGTTAGAAGCTACCAATTTTGGGGGCGCCTAGGTGGCTCAGTTGGTTAAGCATCCGATGTTGGCTCAGGTCATGATCTTGCAGGTTGTGAGTTCAAGCTCCGCATCAGGCTCTGTGCTGACAGCTCAGAGCCTGGAGCCTACTTCAGAGTCTGTGTCTTCCCCTCTCTCTGCCCCTCCCATGCTCATGCTCTGTCTCTCTCTGTCTCTCAATAATAAATAAACATTGAAAAAAAATTTTTTTAATTTGAATTCTCTCTATATAACCTCTGGCAAAATTATCCCAGATATAAAAAAATAAAATTAAATTAAAAAAAAGAAGATACCAATTTTTGTTAGCTTTAAGGATATCTGAAGCAAAGCAAAATCTTGTAAACATTTTATTTTATTTATTTAAATAAATCTTTTAAATATTTATTTATTTATTAAAAATTTTTTTTTAATGTTTATTTATTTTTGACAGAGAGAGAGAGAGACAGAGCATGAGCTGGGGAGGGCAGAGAGAGAGGGAGATACAGAATCTGAAACAGGCTCTAGGCTCTGAACTGTCAGCACAGAGCCCAACGCGGGGCTTGAACTCACTGCGAGATCATGACCTGAGCCAAAGTCAGACGCTCAACCGACTGAGCCACCCAGGCGCCCCTAATATTTATTTATTTTTGAGAGAGAGAGAGAGAGAGAGAGCACACGCATATGAGAGTGCACACGTGTGCACAAGCAGGAGTGGGGGAGGGGCAGAGAGAGAGGGAGACACAGAATCTGAAGCAGGCTCCAGGCTCTGAGCTGTCAGCACAGAGCCTGATGCAGGGCTCGAACTCATGCACTGTGAGATCGTGACCTGAGCCGAAGTCAGACGCTTAACCGACTAAGCCACCCAGGCGCCCCTAAACATTTAAAATTCATAACAATCTGTTTCCTATTCTTTATTATAGTTTAATTATTAAAAATACAGTTTACTTTGGAAGCTTTAATGTGACTCAGCTTTTATGAGTCAAGGGTTAAGTTTTTAAAAATAAGAATAACTATTAGTCATCTAATGATGTGTGACTTCTTAAAAACCTTGATGTTTCTGTGTGATAATGAGATTTTTCTTTCATGGAGTTAAAAACTTTGAGCAGTTATATAAAGGGTTATCTGTAATCTCAGGTTCCATCTAGTAGGGCATGTGAATTTCTCAGTCTATGTTGTGAATTGTGTCCCTGCCCTTGTTTCCCCAATGCTTTTCATCTTTGTCCTTGTTTCCTTATTGTTTGGTTTTTCTTATGTGGTTAAATATTAGCATTTAGAATTTTGCTGCCAATCTCTTTGTACACAACCTGGCTGACTTTCTGGAGAAGACGAATTTGGGACAGGCACTTCTCCAGAGCTGGAGGAAGATCAGAATAGTCTTTAGAGGCAGATGGTCTGTTTCAAAGCCAGACTCCACCTATTCTGTGACTTGAGCAGGCCTCCCTTTTCTCACTTGAAAAATGAAGATAACAGTAGTACTTGTGGAGCAGGAATTTTATGAGGAGGATTAAACAAGTTTGTGCACTTAAAGTTTTGTGTAGTACCTGGCATATATTAAGCACATGATAATCATTGACTGTTTCTATGACTGTAATCTTTTATAGCAATCAAGATATTTTTGAGTACACCAGAATTTTAGAGTTTCAGATACATTGTATACATAGCATTTAATGCTTTTAAGATCTTCACTAGATAGTTCTCAAAAAGCTGGTTATTGGAGTGTCTGGGTGCCTTGGTTGAGCATCCGACTCTTGATTTCTGCTCAGGGCATGATCCCAGGGTTGTGGAATCGAGCCTTGTGTCACGCTCCACACTGAGCATGGAGTCTGCTTAAGATTCTCTCTCTTTCCCTCTGGCCTTTTCCCTTGCTTGCACTCTCTTTCTCAACAGAAAAAAAGATTGTTTTTTCTTCCTTGATTTTTATTATATCACACAAATATTATTTTTTAAAGTAATCTTTACACTGAACATGGGGCTCAAACTCATGACCCCAAGATCAAGAGTTGTATGCTGCACTGACTGAGCCAGCCAGGCACCCCTGTACAAATAATTTTTAAGTGATAACAGAGAAATTGCCTGTAATTCCGCAGTCCTAACACTAAATAATGGTTTTCTTTTTCTGCATTCCCTTATTGCATATGAACTTTTCTTAAAATCCAAACAGAATACATCTATATCCAAGATAGGTTCTGTAAAATACATGCTATACACACACAAATACTTATTACTTATGGAATGTTTAGCTGGATTTTCAGCCTTTGGTTAACTAAATTTTCATAAGAACAGAATATTTTGTACTTTGGTCACGAAGAAAAATGGAATTAAAAAACCATGAGTACTATTTGCTTCTATTTAGACTTTCTTAAGTTCATTTGCCTATATGTGCGTATCTATAGAGAAAAAGGTATATACCCCAAATGGTTACCTCTGGGTGCTGGCATTAGGTAGTTTTTACTTATTTTCTCTTGCTTTACTGCACACACATAATCAATATGTATTACTTGTATAGTGAAGAAAACAAGTTATGTTTAAGGTATCTATCCCATGTTTATGGGGTAGAGAGAAAAACTAAAGTTGGCATAATTTTTTAAACCTTCATTGGGCACCAGCTTTTCCAGGGCGTTGTGGTAGGTTCTGGGCATCCAGAGGTAAATTGGTCACAATGCCTAAAAACACACATGTGAAATTGAAGATATAAAGGGTTATATGATCTCAATGGGAGTCTGCACAGGATCATGTGTGTTCAGAAGGGAAGGGTGTGCTGGTTCTTAATATTCCATTTTATTCAGCATTTTAGTGTATTTGTGACTAATTGAATTGAAGCAGTACTTAGGATGTTTGTGGTTATTACAGTGGGATTAGAATTGTCATTTCTATTTTTAAGTCATAGATCAGTTTCTCATTAGTTTACACATAATTAACCAGTTGAATCTAGGAGCTTTCCTCTAGTCAACCTTCAAGGTGACCATTATCAGAGTAGCGTCTAGGATATGGAGTGATTAGCCACTGGGAGGGGACGTGGGTAGCAGCCTTGCTTCGTGTTTTCTCTACTCACCCCAACCCCCATACAGTAGCTTACAGGCATTGTAAGATAGGGCCCCTGGCTTCCTTAGCTGCTGTGTTCTCATGGAACTGGTAATAGGATCAAGTGCTACTATGTTAAAGGTACTGTTTAAAGCTCTTTATTTATATTAACACATTTAATACAGTAACCCCTGGGCTTGTTTTTATGATTATTCCCATTTTATAGAGGAGGAAGATGAGACCTATAGTGCTTAGGTAACTTGCCCAAGATTATACAGCTCGTAAGTAGAGCCAGAATTCAGACCCAGGCTTCTGAGCCTGCATACTTAACTGATACACTATACTGCCTATCTGTCAGTACTTTATAAGGCTGAAGAGGCAATTAGTACCAATTGTACTGTCTGTTTGCTGCTTTAAAGAGGTATACTGAGTTTAGTTTCCTACTTACATTTAAGCTTTCATTTGTTAATGTGTGAAGGGGCTGGGTGGAGAAGAACAGTAATACTGTTTGGTTAGCTAAAATTTTTCTCCTAGAGCAAGTTTCCAAATTATAGCTTTCTTTCAAATAGAACGTTGGTTTTTAAGACTTTGTGTATAGGAATATTTAATTTTAAAAGAATGTAACTTACAGATTCCAAAATTAAAAATGGATATGTAGAAGTTATAGAGCCCAGAAATTCGCCAGAGCCTTCATTAAATAGTGGATCCTCAAAAGGCATTTAATACGTTTTGAATTTTGAATTTGTGTTTAAAAATATATTATGTGTAAAAAGTAGATTTGTGTATTTATTACCTTGTTTTCTAAGAATGCTATGTATTTATGAAGGATTAAAAATAATTCACATTCTTTTAATTATATGAAAGCAAGTGTAGCAACTTTGGGGTTTAAGATATTCTGGTACTGTCCTACTCTGTTTCCTCTGTTGTCAGGAAATTAGATAAAAATTCTAAATTTTTCTTTTCAGTGTCATCCATGCTCCATTACCAAGTCCTGTTGACAAAGTAAGTTAGTAATGATTTTTTACAAACTAATTCAGCTATATTGCTTTGCAAAATGTTTTTGTTTGTTTTTAATATGCTTTACCTAGAAACTTATTTTTCTTCTGTAACAAAATACATGCAGTGTATATAGATATTTGGTTATTGCAGTCCTCTATCTGGAGAATTTAGGGTGGATGTTTCTTAGGAAAAAGCTTTTGTTATCTCAAGTAAATGGCTGGTTGTATAGACTAGGAGTACTTGTTTTGTGCCTAGCCAGAGGTACGAAGTGTTAGTTACTGCTGTTTATTCTGGAATACAATTCTGTCTAGAAATATTTATTAAAGCTTTCTACCCAAATATTCACCCAACATGTACCTACCCATGGAAATAACAGAAATATGGATTTACAGGAATTGTTCTTTTATTGTCCTTGAAAAGCAGTTTTATTTAATCTGATTTGGTCAGAAACTCTGTGATAATTACTTGTTAGTATTTCCCTCAGAAATAATGGTGTAATAAACTATAGATATCATTGCTTCATAACAAAAAAAAAAGATGTCTTTTGACATTAATGTAGATGTTTTTTCTTAGTGTACTAATTAACTACTGGGAAAATATTTTACATTTTTTTCTTCCATGTGGATAAAGACTGAAAGCCTGCCTGAAACTGAAGTTGTCTGTTAAATTCCTTTTTTAGAAGTAAAAGTGGCTAATCATCAAGTTCAGCAATACCAAGAATTATTTCAGAAATAAATAATGACCTTGCCAATATAAGACTAACTTTTAAAAATAATGCCACGTCTCTGAATTCTAGTTAGCATATTTAAAAAAATATGCTTTCTGAGCTTAATCGGGAATGATGCTATTAACATCATTAATAAGTTAATACATAAGACTTAGTAGTATTGATATGAGTAAATGTTACAGCAGCCTATTAGTACCTTCTTTGGTGGGGGGGGGGGGGGGGGGGGGGGGGTGGTGGTGGTGTGTGTGTGTGGAGAAATAATGCCAAGGTTATATGTTCCACACTTGGGGGAAACCCTGATAGAAGGTAATTTTTCCTAATACACTTGAATTCTAAGTATTTTTTCTACAATTTATAGTTTAAATACTATTATTTACTATCTTTTTCTTCTTAAACCTACCTATAGTTTAAAGAAGAAAAAAAGACAAAGCTATTTTCTTTCTCTTTCTTTTTCTTTTTCTCTTTCTTTCCTTCTTTCTAAATTTTTTTTAATGTTTATTCGTTTCTTTCATTTGTTGAGACAGAGAGACAGAGCATGAGTTGGGGAGGAACAGAGAGAGAGGGAGACACAGAATCCGAAGCAGGCTCCAGGCTCTGAGCTGTCGGCACTGAGTCCGATGCAGGGCTTGAACCCACAAACCATAAGATCGTGACCTGAGCTGAAATTGGATGCTTAAGATGCTTAACCAGCTGAGCCACCCAGGCGCCCCTCTTTTCTTTCTTTTCTTTTTTTTTAAAGAGACAAACCTATTTTCATTGCCTCTGGCCATTGGACAAAGCATTATATTTCCTGTCCTGTCTCTCCCACACCCTCACATACAAATAACATTTTGAAGATGGCTGCCTCAGCATGAATTATGACTGTTGACATATTGAAGAACTGTTTAACAATGAATCTTAAAGGGGGAAAATATAGATCTGTTGATTTAGGAGGTATTATTTCTGGATTAAGAAAGGGCTGTCTTGCCTTTGCCTTGTGCTTGTGATTTGGTTTATCAAGGAATGTTTCCATGAGTAGTACTTGTTCTACCACCCTGCTTATAAATCTCAGACTGGCCAGTGAAATATAACACCATTTACAAATTCTACACACGGAACAGAAATATTTTGAAAATGAAAGGAACTGGTTAAGCTTAAAAATAATTTTTATTTTGCATATTTCAGTAAATAGACATTTCAAAGACTTGGTTTGCTTTAATGTCTTTTATGAATGTTTGTGTGACTATTGATACTTGTGTCATTTTGTTTTTAGGTTGCTGCTAACACCCCAAGTATGTACTCTCAGGAACTATTCCAGCTTTCTCAGTATCTACAGGTAAAAGTAAATCTTGAAAATTCTTAGTTTTTAAAAGTAGAATTAAACAACTTAGGTTTGATTTTGCTAGTTCACAAATACAGGCTAAAGAAATATTGGCTGGCTACAAGTACAAAAGAAATATCTTTTCAAAGTAAAAAAAAAAACAAGGATTAAAATTAGGTCTTGTAAAGAAAGGATAAAAGAATCAGGATTATTAAGTCTAGAAAAGATAGGGTTCTGTACAAGAGAAGTTTTTGTTATTTAAATATGAGGAAGTGTCAACATAGTTCTTTATCCATAGATGATTTTTAAAAAAATTTTTTTTTAATGTTTATTTTTTGAGAGAGAGGTTGACAGAGTGTGAGCATGAGAGGGGCAGAGAGAGAGAGGAAAACACAGAATCTAAAGCAGGCTCCAGGCTCTGAGCTGTCAGCACAGAGCCCGACACGGGGCTCGAACCCACAAACCATGAGATCATGACCTGAGCCGAAGTCGGACACTTAACTGACTGAGCCACCCAGGCGCCCCATCCACAGATGATTTTTTTTTTTAATTTTTTTTTTTTTTTACATTTTATTTATTTATTTATTTTGATAGAGAGAGACAGAGCACAAGTGGGGTAGGTGCAGAGAGAGAGGGAGACACGGAATCCGAAGCAGGCTCCAGGCTCTGAGCTGTCAGCACAGAGCCTGACGCGGGGCTCGAACTCACAAACCGCGAGATCATGACCTGAGCCGAAGTCTGACGCTCAACCGACTGAGCCACTCAGGCGCCCCATCCATAGATGATTTCTAAAGAAAATTAAACCTGGAGAGATTTTGCTTGCTTAGTATAATAGCAAATAATTACATAGCACTTACTATATGCCAGACTCTAGCTCTTTGCCTCTACTCATTTAATCTTCAGGACAATCCTGTAAGGTACATATTTTATTCCCATTTTTATAGAGAGAGTAACTGATGGTCTGGAAGGTTAAATAATTTACACAATATTACACACTGTGTAGTAGAGCTGGGATTTGAACCCAGACAGACCTCAGAATCTGTACCCTTAACCACTGGGCTGTGCTGCTGAGTCTGTTAGAAGATATCTTGCTGAGGCAGATACATCGAGTGGGCTCTTGAAGAAGTTAATACCATATTTAAAAAGCCTTTCAAATCTTTAAAAAGGAAACAAGTGTGTGTGTGTGTGTGTGTGTGTGTGTGTGTGTGTGTTTCCCCTCTTGATTTGGGGAGATTTGGGCTAGATTATGTTCCTATTATTATTCTGGTGAGGAAGCATATTGAAGAAAAATCCTAGATCAGGAATTTAGAGATTGAACTTTTTATCTTGGCTCTGCCACTGAGTTCTGTAACTTTGGGTGACTCATTTTACATTCATAAGTCTTCAACTGCTTTTTAAAAATGATAGGACCAAACCGGTGATCCTGGCTCCTACATTCTTTTATAGGAATCAATCACTAAAAGTGGTTCTCCCTCAGTTAAGAATGTACAAGTCTGTGAAAATTGTCAAAGTACTAATCACATCTTACTTCCACTGGGTGTTATGTAATGGTGCATAGAAAAGCACTGTTACACATTTGTAATTTAAGTAGAATTTCTAACAGCACAAACCATAGCCAGAATTCCCTGGACTCGATCTGTGGCTTTAACCTCTGACCTTTTGGGAAAGTTGTTTAACCCTTTTGCGTGCCTCATTTTCTTAATCTGTGATATGGGTATAATAATAGCACTTACCTCACAGAATTGTGAAGAGTAAATGAACCAATATATGTAAAGCACTTAGAACAGTGCCTGGCACATAAAATGTATGCCATACATGTTAGCATTTGTGTACCACTCAATAGGAAGGTACATTAATTGACCCAGATCTCTCTTATTTTTAGAAGTAGAAGAAAACTTTGAGATTAATCTGGTCTAACCTCCATTTTTCACATGAGAAATATGGGGCTCATCTAGATAAAAATGATTTCCCGAGGCTATACACACTATATACTCACCAGTCATCATGGACTGTGGATCTAATGTCCTGACTCGCTCAGTACTTTTTCCACCTTTGTCAGTTCTTTGCATATTCATAGGTGGGCATGTCTTTAATTGTTCTTCTCTGATTTTTGAGAGAATATTATATTGTGCTATCTTTTCTATATACATCTTTGTGAATTGCTGGAATTCTTACGTAAACTGTAAAACTTTTGAATAAAAACTGGAGTAGATATGTTTTATGCCTTAGAACTAAAAGTAAAGAACTGGAAGTATTATTAGATTTCTATTAGGATGTGGTTCATGGAATTATGAAACTCTAAATGGGATTGAGTTAAAAAAAGGTGAAATTACGCCACCTAGTGGGAGTAGTGATTATTTGGTGGTTTTGTGTTTAAGTAAAACTTTTTGCAGCATTAATGTAATTTCCTGGATATTAGGAATGTTTTAAGAGCTTAAAATAAACTTGGCAGCTCATCTCTTTTAAGTGTAAGTTGTGTTTTATGGCCTTTGTTAGATTCCTTAATCTATACTTTTACAATTACATTAAAAAACAGTACCGCTAATTCTTAATTAGGTCAGATTTTCTCTAATCATTATTTATCAAGGATGTGGACAACAATAAATGCATGCTTTAAACCTCAAGAAATGTGTTTGAAGCATACCCTTCTTTGCTGAGGTGGCTCCAGAGGTATTAGGGTAGTAAGTATTCTTCTTTGGCTAATGACAGGAATAGAAGAAAGTGACATTTAAAGATGTGCCATAACCACCGCTGAATGCTGTGTGAGCATTTTCACCTTGACTTCTAGTGAAGGAGACCCTCTTAACAGCTATCAAATGTTAATAAGTGACCTAGAGATAAGGTTTGCTTGCCAATGTCCTTCTCTGGAAAAATATTCCTTTGGAGCTGCCAAATAGTTATATAACTCCTTGATTCCTTAATTACATTAGTGGACTCTTATTTTCAGCATATTTGATTGCTGCTAAGTGGTATACAGTCTCAGAGAATCACAACACCTGACAATGCAATAGATTATGATAGTGAAACAGTCTTTCTCTCTTCTTAAGTGTATATGTTTATATATATAACATTCTTAAAAGGAAAAACTAAAAGACATTTCTAATTTAGATGTCATATCCATGCACCTAAGCCATTAAGAAGTATCTTTGCTACTGACCACATTGTTTGACTTAGTTTGGAATGAGTTAGTGCTGAAAGATATGTATATATTTTTTAAAATATGTATATATATAAAATGCAGGGTTGAACATTTGTTGGATTCTTCTACTCTGGATTTCCTTTTTTTTTTTTTTTTTTTTTTTTTTAAACTCACTCTTCCTATGTATGTATGTGTGGAAGGAAGGAAGTAAGCTGTATGCCCAACCTGGGGCTTGAACCCACAACCCCGGGGTCAAATGTCATGCTCTACTGACTGAACCAGCCATGCTTCCTTTTTAAAGTCACTCTTGCGAATTATGAGTAAAAAGAAAACAAAAACAGGGGGCTTGTTTTCTGTTAACAGTGGAAGGTGCAGCTAGAGTACCCCTAACAGACCAGAAAATGAGGCTAAACTGATGTGGTTTATATATATTTTACAAGATTTATCAGGTTTGAAAGTAAGATACAAAGTGGGATATAAGATGAGAGTGTGCTAAAAATTGATTACTCTTCAAGGGATCATGCTGAGTTCTTTAGAATCTCTTTTGTGATTTGTATTATTAGGAGGCCTTACATCGGGAACAGATGTTGGAACAGAAGTTAGCCACACTTCAGCGGCTACTAGCCATCACCCAAGAGGCTTCAGATACCAGTTGGCAGGTATTACAGATGCCTTTATTATATTCATAGTTTAATATTCCTTAAATGTTGATTAAACTAAAACTGAATTTTTTTAGCAGGGAAAGGCAGTTATTTCCTAATGACCAAATATTGAAAATTTAGCATTTTACAGTGGATGTTGGTCAGTTTTATGATTTTACATCTTTTTTTTTTGGCGATAGCAACCATTTTGATATGTGTTATTTTTTAATTACCCTGGGATTTTATTTATATTTAATTTTTTTTCAACAGGCTTTAATAGATGAAGATAGACTCTTATCACGGTTAGAAGTTATGGGAAACCAATTACAGGCATGCTCTAAAGTAGGTATTAATCTCAAGTAAGGATTTATAAAGAAAAAAGCATAAATTATGCATTAAAATGCATAGTTTTTTGTGTAGCTTCATTTCTTTGTCATTTTGAGTACATTCTAAAACATTTATACATTTTCTCCATTCTTTTAAGTCTTTTGTCATAAGAAATTCCAAACATACATGTAAGGACAGAATTGTATATTGAATATCCATGTATAACTCTCTTTTTTCTATCGCAGTTGATATTTGCTGGAGAAACTGGGTCATTTGTCCTCTATAATTTCCCTCAACCTAGACTGTTATTTAACGATTCTTCTAGCTCCCCTCCCACACCATAAATTGGTAGTTTGATCTAGAGATTTGATCTGATCTCTTTTTTGCCAACAATACTTCATGAATAGTATTGTGTACCTTCACCAAAAGGCACCATAATGTCTAAGTTGTCCTTCTTTCTGAAATATTAGCAATCTTTGATGTCCCTTGCCTAATCCATTATTAAGGGTTGCAAAAATGGTTAGGTTTAGTGCTGTCATTCCTTCATTTATAGCTGGGTGACTCCTATAAATACTTCTGTTATGCCCCTCTCAAACTTTTTTGTTACCTGAAGTCTTTTTTTTTTTTTTTTTTTTAGGGAAGGCAGGATAAGTGATTGTCTCTTTTTTCTCTTTTTATTTACTGGATTTCAAAATAATGAATTAGTTCTTTGTCATCCACCAAAGAATGACCACGAAGTGTTTTTCTTTTCTCCAAACTAGAGTTAAATATATTTCATGTGTTTCAACCTATTCCATTTGTTGTTCTTATTGTTGTTCAAATTATCCCATCTTTGGTGAACCATAGCTTTTTCAGTTTGGTGCCTGAGTTCTTTTGGTACAGTCTCAGCAGGCTTTCATAGCTTCCTGCTGTCATTTTAGGCAAGATGTTCCAGACTTATCTTGTACATTTCCTGCCTCTGGAATCAGCTTTTTCTTCTGGGTACTCTTATTCCTTTTGGTTTAACCATTGTGTTAAAATGCTGGGCCCCTTTGAAAGTAAGAGATCATTTTTGTACACAAATGGAAATATTGTGGCTTACAGACAATATGAAAATTAGAGACTCAATTCATTTTGTACATTTGAGAAATTCTTATTTTCCTTTGACTTTTTTAATTGTAAATGTGAATTAATATATTTGTGAAGGCATAATTCACTAATGAAACTTTTCAATACAGCTTCAAGCTTCAGTTAATACAGGGCCAACATCATTTGGATTTAGTGATACCTTAATATAAAACTCAAAGAGGGGCGCCTGGGTGGCGCAGTCGTTAAGCGTCCGACTTCAGCCAGGTCACGATCTCGCGGTCCGTGAGTTCGAGCCCCGCGTCGGGCTCTGGGCTGATGGCTCGGAGCCTGGAGCCTGTTTCCGATTCTGTGTCTCCCTCTCTCTCTGCCCCTCCCCCGTTCATGCTCTGTCTCTCTCTGTCCCAAAAAATAAAATAAAAAACGTTGAAAAAAAAAATTTTTTTAAACTCAAAGAGTATAAAAATGTGTTGTTTTTTCAAATGATAAATACTTAAAAACAATAACTTGGTTATAATTATAAGTATCTTTTAATCTTAGAATCAAACAGAAGATAGTTTACGGAAGGAACTTATAGCATTACAGGAGGATAAACACAACTATGAGACGACAGCCAAAGAGTCCCTGAGGCGGGTTCTTCAGGAGAAAATTGAAGTGGTTAGAAAACTTTCAGAAGTTGAGGTATTTTAATTTAACAAATATACTTTGGTAGTATGATTAAAAATTTTTAGCCTAAAATTGCTCATATTCTAGAACATTTTAAACTTGGGTGTTATATTACTAGGAAATATTTCCCATCTATCAAGTGGGAAGGGGTAGTATGCTGTTTTTATTGTTAGGGATTTTCAGCATAACCATGTGAGTTTTGGTGCTTGTGGTCCCTAGTCAGTGACTGGGCAAATAAAAGGCTAATCAAGGAGTCTTAGAATTTGCATTCTGTTTAGGATTCAGCCTTCACACAGTGGACCATGATATGTGCCAGGGAATCGATCTCCTGTCACCTAGTTTTGTTTTCCTTCAAATTGAGGATAGTCACTGTAAGGTGGAGAACATCACCACTATTCTTATTTACCCATCCTCTAGAGAAGAAAACTGTGTCTAACTTTGGAGGTCAAAGGGGAAAATATCTCTACGGTCCTTTCTAGGTCTTTTAGGAACAATCAAAATGTGATTCTTGCTTTAAAAATGACCTAGTTGATAGTGGAGGTCATCCCTTTGAACCACTGCACAATTACTACAGAAGTTATTTGTTACTGGATTTAGTTAAAATGCCCATTTTAAACACGATAATAAAAATACCATATATAGTACATACTATATAGCATATAGTATAGTAATAGTTTCTGTAAAAGCCTCATCCCATAATAACTAATTCACTTTCGTGTCATTAATTTGACATGCAAGAAAGTTGCTAGTTGTCTTCTATTTTTCTTATTAAGTTGATTGTGCATATTATTAAACTTGCTTTCAGGAATTGTTAAGCTTAAAATATTTTCAAGGCTAAAAGTCATTCTCAGTGGCCTTTTAAAAGAGTAGTTATATAAAAGTAACATCCTTTCCTCCCTGCCCCCTTTCTGTTGTTTCGTTTTTCAAAATTTTTTGTTGTATTTTCTGTTTTAGTATATACCTAAAGTAAATTAAAATTCTTATGTTACTTAGCTCAGTCTTATATGAAGGTTAATTTAGAACAGCCCATAGAATTATACTTTTTACAAGTTGAAGTTAAAACACGCCATTTATTCTAAATCAGTAATCTGTAAACTTGAATTACAGCGAAGTCTGAGTAATACTGAAGATGAATGTACCCATCTGAAAGAAATGAATGAACGGACTCAGGAAGAATTAAGAGAATTAGCCAATAAATATAATGGAGCAGTAAATGAGATTAAAGATTTATCTGATAAATTAAAGGTATGTATTTACTCAACCTGAAAATATGTTAATTGTCCCTAACACACTGGATAGATTAAGATGTTAGGTATTGCTGAATAGTTGTTGATATAAAATTTATAATGGTTGAAATTTGTAGTAAAAATAAGTTTCCATTTAGCCCAAACCCCATTGCCAGAGACAGCTGAAAGACTGTAAAAGCTGACATATTTCCTTTGGAAGGAAATAAATAGTACTTCACAACAGGCATCTTTTAATATATAATAGAAGTAGATGCAAATCCACAAACCCCAAGATATTTAGACCTTTTAAAAACTTGAATGTCCTTCTCCTTGGGCAGCCCCAAAAGCAGATGTTAGTGCTGGAACAAGCCCTGAGGGGACCTTGGAGTGATCTGCAGTGGACCCTTGCAGCCTCTAGGGATGCTGTTAACTGCTTCAGCTGCAGCTCCCTGTAGATTAGCTGTAGGACGTTTAGGATAAGGGCAGACCAGACCATAATGTCTAGATGGTCCTTTAAAATGTTATAACTGAGTTTGTGAAGTCCCATCTTTATATCATTCAAACCATGATTCAGTGGCTAGAAGATAAATATTTCTTAGAGAAGACCAGGGCATCCTCTGTGTGGTTGGCGAACCTCTAACAGTGTTAAAGATTGGTCTTGTTAAAAGGAGGTCATTTTGAAAAGTGCTTATGATCATCATTCCTTCAACTGAACACAATTTAGTTTAAAATTTCAGAGTAAGTTACATTTTAGAACTTACAAACTGATTAAACAATAGTAATTTCAGGGGAAAACTTTATATATTTCCCTCTTGAAAACTGTGGAGTTTTAAATTTTGACCCATTATCATTACGTATTAGGCCTGCTTGCCTGCTACAAGGTTTTCTTTTCTAGTTACCTAGAAGCATGACCCCAATGCAGACTACTTCTGACATCATTTTGACATTTACAAATATGTTCTATAATATTGAATATTCTTGTTAGAAGTTTATGTGAATAAAAGCAGCCCTGCTTTGGGCCTCTAAAAGCAAGTGCAGACTATGAAATAACTGATTTTTTTTTTTTTTTCTTTCTCAACAGGTAGCAGAAGGAAAACAAGAAGAAATCCAACAGAAGGGACAAGCTGAGAAAAAAGAATTACAACATAAAATAGATGAAATGGAAGAAAAAGAACAGGAGCTCCAGGCAAAAATAGAAGCTTTGCAAGCTGATAATGACTTTACCAATGAGAGGCTAACAGCTTTACAAGGTAAGTTAGCTAATCCAGAAATTGATTTGATTTGATTTTTTTTTCTTTTATCTGTGAAATACCTTTTTCTTGGACTTTCATTTACAGTACGGTTAGAACATCTTCAGGAGAAAACTCTTAAAGAATGCAGCAGCTTAGGTAGGTGTGTCACCAAATTTCTTATTTAAAGCTGAATTTTTATCATTGAACTTTTGGTATTTACTGTCTCATTGGGTACTTATTTTCTATGTATTAGGTGGAATGTATCCACACTCTTAGAAAATTTTCTATAAAAATATGCTTGATTGCCACCAGTGGGCACCATTGTTTAGGCTTTAAGATGAAATTTGTGCGTCTGAGAAGCTCTACTTAGAGATATTTAAATAAGGAAAGTACAAGCCCCGCAGGATTCTTTTCTTTTGAGGTTCATTGCAAGGCTTCTAGGCAGTTGTAGCTTTTTCTCTGAGTGGATAGAAAATGGCCCGTTGAACCCTTCTTGGAAAAATAAATTCAAAGTGTTCTATACTGTCTTAATGCAAATAGGAATACAAAAATGCCGTGAGACCAGTTTTAAAGTAACTCTTTCTTTGATCAGGCAATGATACACTGTCTTAATCCTAGGGATACAAGTTGATGACTTCTTACCTAAAATAAATGGGAGCACAGAAAAAGGTAGTGTAAAAAACTTAAATGTTTTTCTTTGATGGTATGCTTTTACTCCTCAAGCAGGATAGAGAGATCAGCATTTTAAGGTTTTCATTTTTTGGAACAAAAAGCATGCTGTTCATAGACCATTGAATCCCAGCTTTTAAAAAAAAAGCTTCCCTTTATTTTGTAATTCTTAATGCTACGATTTTTGGTTAGATATCCCTTGTTATATGGAAATTTTAATTATTTAAATAACAGGAAACTGCTAAAGTTCAACATTAGCATTGGTTTATATATATAGCATAATAATTGGTTTCTCCCCCAATATATTTTTCAAAGAACTCTACTACCATTTTCTTCCATCAAGTACTGCTTCCTGGGAATATGGGGCCTCTATTTTTAATGTTTGTGTCATGCCCCATCCCTGGCCAAGAGTTTACTTAACAGCCCACTGAGCTCTTGGATATGTCATAGAAGCTACTTTCTTTATAGTGTACATCTCTTTCTTTAATCAGAGAAAGCAAGGCCAGCCATTTCTGTTCTCTGAAAAATCCTTTATTAGTTCTTGACACTGTGACCTTTCTGTCTGGATAGTTTGCATTATCTCTTGCCAAAAATGTATAGCCACTATTGGTTTTCTTGTTACTGCATGGGGTACTTTTTACCCATTGACTTGTATATTCCTTCATTTGTGAAGATCCCAATTCACCCTCCCCTTTCCATCCATCCAACATTAATTGAGCACCAACTATGTGCCAGATCCTACATTAGACGCTTGAAGTGCAGAATGAATAAAATTATTTTCTGTGTTTACAAATATGTGTACCTCTGATCTTAGTTTTTATATAGAACTAAGTGGAAAATGTTAAGGTCGATACTCAGAACTTCTAATTAAATTTTTTTTTTTTTTTCATGTATCAGGGGATATCTTTATAGTTCTTGGGCAGCAACCAATTCTGATAAAGTTAGGAGGTGCTTTTTTTTGTTGTTGTTTTTGTTTGTTTGGTTTTTAATTAGGAACTGGCAAAATAGGCTTAGGTAATCATGTATATGTGAGCTTGCAAGCTCAAGACCTAATAATATTACATATGTTCTACAAAAAAATCTCGAAACTCTAAATTAGAAATTATTGTCATTAATCATTGTTGACTATTCTGTATATGTTTTATAAACTACATCGATATTTTAGAATTCCAGTTTGAGTTTCGATTTGAGAATTTTTAAAGGTGTAGTTTATATTCTAATATTACTAATTTTATTAATATTACTAATATTTCTGTTTATTAACTATATTTAGTGAACATATATAAAATGACTTAATCCTCATTTTCTAAAAGTTCATCATTAAATGAATTTTTATTTTTTGTTGTCATTATTTGCCTTTTTTTCCTCTTTCTGGCATGAACACGTTTTATTCCAATCACCAGTTTGATTGGCGCATGTATTTATTAATAATGTTAGTGTTAACTCAAGCTGGGGACATGCTATTCCTTCAGTTAAGAGATCCTTTAATATACACGAAATCATCTTTATACTATTTAGAGTTGTCAGATTACTGCTAAAGTTTTTTTGTCAATTCCAATTGAGTTAGATGAGAATAGTTGTAGACAACTCCTTGATTTAAGACTGAATAAGGTATTTTGGATACTTTAAAGTACTTCTTACTATAACTTTTCCCTTGCGGGTATGTTTGGTTTTTTAGTGATGATAAATCGTTGTGGGGATGACCAATAGTATATCTTTAATGAAACCGAATAGTAAATATCTTGATATGCACAAAAACTTCATTACACCAGATTTAGCATGCAGTGGATTTTGGGAGTAAGATGGATTTGTTCTGAATCATTTGTTATAGAATAGTAAACCAGTTATCCAGCATTCCAATATTACCAAAAATCCATAACCGTAATATGCTATCAGATATGACTTTAACTAAAATTAGTCTTTAAATAGTAGAGAGCCAAGTATAGTTGTAAGAGAATATTTTAAAAATGTCTGGAGATGTTAAGATTAATACTATGTATCTAGTAAACTCTATTTTTCAAATTACTTAAACGTAAAGTAGCTGCTACAAACATAGGTTTTATACTATAAAATTTTTTGTATCTTATCTAATAATTGTAATTTGAATATATCTTAGTATAGAAAAGCACTGTCTAATAGAAATATTATGGGAACCACATACATAATTTAAAATTTTCTGGAAACTACATTAAAAATATAAAAAGAAACAGGTAAAGTGTTAATAATGTATTTTAATAATGTTATTTACTTTAACCTACTATATCCAAAATATTCTTTCAACATGTAATCAGTATTAAAGATTATAAATGAATTATTTCACAACCTTTTTTCCTTAGTAAGTCTTTGAAACCAGTATGTATTTATTTTACACTTACAATACATCTCAATTCACACTAGCCATTTTTTCAGGGCTCAGTACCCACATGTGTATAGAACATGTGTATTGGACAGCACAGATAGTATAGAAAATCAAATTTTATAGGAAACTAATGTGTATAAATAAACCCATTTTAAGTAGCACAGTTCTCTATTATGTTTCTGTATCTGTCTGGTCTTTGCATTTCCACAACCCTGTTTGGGATCTTACAACCTTGCTTCCCTGCCCCCTGACTTCCCCGCCCTAAGTATCTCATTTTTTTGGATTTTCAGTGACATCTTTTATAGTTTTGGCAAAGTGAATTCCCAAGGAACTGAATTCAAGTCATCAAGTATTAAAAGTGTCATGATCCAAATTCTTTACATGTACTATCTAAAAGATTTTTCTCTCATGTGTCTTAGAAAATGCCTTTATAGAAGTCATATATGTATAACATATATAATAATATATTAATCTTGAATTTTATCTAAACTAGTATAATAAATATTTTAATGTAGGGTCCAGATAGTAAAATCAGAGTAGATAAAAGGGTGATTTGAGGCTTGATGAGTAATGGTGGGAGGTACCGCATTAATAAATGTCATCTAAAGTCCTGTGTTGATAGTCTGAAATTTTGTTTCAAATAAGTTCCATAAGGTCCTTTAGGTTAAAATTTGGTTTCAAATGAGTTTTCATATTTAACCATGATGTTGTATAGTTGGAGTTCTGAAAATGTTATCATAGCTTAGATAGGATTTATGTAAAACAACTTTTGATCTTGGTAATTACTATTCAACTGAGGGCTTCTGTTTTGGATTTCTTGGCTCCAGTCAGCAAGTGCTATTTATTACATTTTTTTTACTTTTATCTTTTGTATTATTATTATACATAGAGAGAGAGAGTACACACACAAGCAGGGGAGAAGGGCAGAGGGAGAGAGAGAGAATCTTAAGCAGGTTCCACGCTCAGCGTGGAGCCCGATGTGGGGTTTGATCCTACGACCATGATATCATGGCCTGATCTGAAATCAAGAATTAGATGCTCAACCGACTGAGCCACACAGGCGCCCCTAGGTTTTTAAAAAAATTTCTGTTGCAGTTAGCCATTTTTTCCCTTTTGGGGCTATATTTTATCTGTATATAGTATAACTCTATAACTATGCAATTATGTACAACTATGTACACACATTTATTACATATATATACATATATATATACATACATATACATATACATATATATAAAATTATTGACTGGAAGTTCTGTGTACCATGTAAATAGATAAAAGATAATGATAGATACGAGTATGAAGGTAAAGAAGGTGTCTATTGGTAAGGATGTCAAGAGAAGCTAACCAGTGATTAGAGTAGCAGATGCCTGATTCTCAAACAAAGTTGGGATGATGAGAGTGAGATGGGTTGAAATGAGAAGGAAAAGAGGCTTTCACAGTCAGAGTGGTACTAACTCATGTCCTCTTTCACAGGTTTCAGTGCTTTCCCACCTTCCAGATAGTCATCATATTGTGATATATTTTTAACACCTGAACTTCCAAAGTCTATTTAGTAGTTTTGAAAAATCCAGAGATATAATTGAAAGATGTTATCCAGATTTAGAAGTTAGCTCTCTGAGTCAAAATAGATAAAGATTATTGTAAGAAAAGAGCTGAAGCTTTTCTCTACTGTTAGATTTTGATTCTCTTTACTCTTAAAAAAAAACAAAACAAATTATGTTTGACCTGAACAAAACCATTTTCCAAGCTCTTATTTTAAAATATGCATGACATTGATTTTAATCATTTGGGCAGAGATAAGCAGTGTAATATTTTGAGAGTATAGAAAGTACAGATTAAATGACTCAAATGCAAGGTTATTTGTGAAATGAAAGTACAAAAATGGAAATGTTGCATTAGTTTCTTAAATTTTAGGGCATTATTTTGTGGTATTCTTCAAATATTTATCTTTTGCCTCTTAAGAAGAATAACTTTGAAGAGGGACTGTTAGAGAATTGTTATTTGACAATTAATTCAGTAAGAACAAATAATAAAATTTAAAAATTATTTACAGGTATTTATTAAATGTCATGGAGAAAGGTATATTTTAAAAGAGAAGCTTTTTAAAGCAATATATGTCTATGGTTTTCTTGAGCTCTTTGGATAGAAACTGCACCTTTAAAAGCTAACCAGTCAGGGTACAAATTAATGAATATAATTATAATTTTCAGTCATTTAGCTTTATTAACTCTAAAATATGTCTGCTATTAATATTAAAAATATATTAAGCTTTTATGAATCTTAGAGTTACTCATGTCAATACATTTCAGTTTTCCTACCTTTGCTGTTGTTTTTCAAAAACAGCAACAAACTATATCCTTAAAGGTGTTTTTTTCTTTATTAGAGCACTTGCTTTCAAAGAGTGGCGGGGACTGCACTTTTATTCATCAATTCATAGAATGCCAGAGTGAGTACAGAGTATTTTTCACATTGATTTTAATGAAGTCAGGGGCTAACATTGAAAAATGAGAAGAAAAATGAAGATCTCAATGTGTTTGTTATGGTAGAAGGTGCACAGAGGGCCATCTTCAGACAGCAGCGATACTTCTCATACTGTTCGGCTTCTCTCTTCAGAGAAAAATATTTTTGTGGCATTTGCCTTCAAAGATGGATTTCATATTGCCCACAAAAAAGAGGAAATTTAAAGCTTTTAAATAAAAAATTGTTGTTGAGCAGGGAATGAAATAGAATGTCAAGCACCTAAACGTTCTGTGTGGACACTTAAGAGATCGTAATAACATTAGCCTGTTTTATTTACATTCTAGTTCTATCACAGATTTGGAATTGGATTTCTTAAGTAAATTTCTTAAATGATTAAATGAAGCCATGAAAACAGTGATTTAGTTTGGGTACTCAGATCTGAAGATGACCCTTAAGGTAGCAGGAGCTTTCTAGGGAAGGAATAGGAATAGATTGTCCTACATTCTGACATCAACCGCCTACCCTTGGGAAGCCTATCGTTAATAATACTTTAAAGATAGATAGGTTAGCTTTTGAGGTGATTTAGACCTCTGCTGAATTCTGAGCCAGAGTATCATGAATCTCCTCGTACTTGAAAATCATGTGGCTGCTTAAATCATGAGGTTGTGATATTCTCTTGGTCCTCTTGGTGACAATTAAAGGTCACTATGTGTAATAAAGATTTACTGATGAGATCTACACTTTTTCCTACCAGACACACAACTTGGTTGTTTTTCCTCTCCCTGTTTGGTCTCTTTTTGAAATGAGTGACTTTCTGTGTTTTTATGCTAATGAATTCATTCTGTGGATATGCAAGCATATGTGATTCTTTCCCCTTTCCCCCCCTCCCATCTCAAATTTGGGGGTTGTCAGGGTCACACCTGGTAATTATAGCAGGCACAAACTCAATAGATCCAGTGTTATATACTCCTTAGAGATGCCTTAAGGAAACCTGGAATTTCATTTAGTAGTTTTAGAAGAGCTTCTATTTTTGTCCATTTTATGTTGAATATAAGTTTAATATTATTTTGGGGAAAATTAATGAATAAATATGGCATATTCCTTTGTCCTTTAAATTTTTCTCATAAAGCAAAGATTAGTTCATGTTTTTGTTATCTTCTGATTACTAAATTTCACTTTTATGGGAAATTGGCATGGGGATTTGGGGCAAAATAATTGGTATCCACTGAAACTAACTAAAAGCAGAATATAAAATTTAAAATATAAATCTTTAGGGGAAGGATCTTATACTTTGTTTTATTACATGTGACCATTGTTTAATAAGTTAATTTTATTTTAAACTTTTGGGCTTGTATTTTGAGCCCAAAGAAACAAGAACAGAGAACTATCCAAAAAGAAAGCTTATTACTAAGTTACAATTTGCAAAAATCATTTAAAATATTATAAAATGCGTACGTAAAATATTTAGCTGTAGTTGTAACACAGAACGATGTTTGTTTTACATTAAGAAAAAGATGTTTGGAGATTTTTATTGTATCATAGTTACGGGGGGCAAATGGACCAGTAAACATTCAGAGATAGAGCAGAAGTTATAAGTTACAGCAATCCCCTGAATAAGGATATTAGCCAATTAAATTATGTTTACAAGGACTATGCAGTGGCATGGGAAAACATTAGATGTGGTATAGAGAGGGAGAAATGAGAATATAAAATGCTTTCCTTGTGGGCAAAGAAATAATGAGCCAAAGAACAAAAAATAAAATACAAGTATTCCTAGATGTCTGAATCCATTGGGTCCCTAAGTGCAAACAGTGGAAGTTTGGGCTGTAAATTCATGTATATCCCTAGGGATATAGCTGGGGGTATCGTCCATTATCTGAATCTGCCCAGTTCCTGAGTTTTGGTAGCAAGTAGCAAGAGTTTGGTTAATGAGGATACCGTTGTATCTCAGAAATTTCCAATATGTTGGCTCCTTAAATTTGGATACTCAGAGTTGGCATAGTAAGAGTTAACTTTGATTTGTTGTCAGAAGGGGTATTTTCATTATTTTATGACAAGCTGCTGGTATAGAAATTGTGGTGTTTAATTAGTATTATGGCAAGCAAGGCACATTCAACTAAAATCTTACTCAGGTGAACTTTCAAAATAATTTTGGATTATTTTTTGATAATCTCACACAAACTTTTTTGCCATTATTTTAATTGATAGACATCTTGAACTGATTTATGACCCTGAACATGAAGTTTATATTCTGTGAGCAGTGACACCTCATAGTCTTATTTTCCTGTCTTTTATTTACTTTTTAAAGATTTTTTAGTTTTAAGTAATCTCCACACCCAACATGGGGCTCGGATTTACAACCCTGAGATCAAGAGTCACATGCTCTACTGACTGAGCCAGCCAGGCACCCCTTATTTCCGGTCTTTTAAAAAGCAGATGTTAAGTACCTAGATTTCATTGTTTACTGTGCTTGTTGTATAGTCCAAATTCACCTTGTGAATTCTAAATTTAAAATTAGAAAGCAAATAATTCACTTCTGTAGGATTCCTCATGTCTTTTTAATATATTAACAGAGTTTTTCAGTTTATGTATATGAACCCATAAGAGAATGATTTAGTTGTTGGCTGTCTCCATTTACAAGGTGATTTTGATGAAATTAAATGAGTTGGAACACATTTCAGTTTGTTTTCCTTTTATGGTAAAAGAGACTGTGTTTCTTTTAATTCTCTTTTAGGAGAAAAGCTTTTAATCCCATGCAAAGAGATTGGATTTTGAACAGATTTAAATATAACCTTTGTGTAATTCCAGGACTGTGAAGTAATTTTCTGTGTAAAAATATACCATGTAAAATCTAGAATTAACAAGTAACTTTAATAAAACTTGCTAAAAAGCTCTAGCAATATTTTCTTCTGAAGGAATTCAGGCAAGAAGTTTGATTTGAGCAGAATTCCACATTCCTTGTTCCCTCTGCAAATTTTAGTTACTCAAGGTTTACAGTGTAAACTTAACAAATAAGTTGAGGGGCACCTGGGTGGCTCATTCAACAAAGCGTCTGTTGGCTTTGGCTTAGGTCATGATCTCTTGGTTTTGTGAGTTCGAGCCCCACATAGGGCTCTGTGCTAACAGAGAGGAGCCAGCTTGGGATTCTCTTTCTCCCTCTTTCTCTTCCCCTTCCCCGCTCACTCTGTCTCTGTCTCTCTCAAAAATAAATGAATAAACTTTAAAAAAAAGAAAAAGACAAATAAATTGAGACTGTTGTGTTTGATAAATGTGCTTTCTGAGTTAACAAATTATGCACCTTGTATCTGTTTCATATGTGTCCTATGAACTCTGTCATTTGATTAATGCGTATGCTGAGTGCAAAGATAAAGGGTCAAAGGTGGAGAACCTCAGGACATGGAGACTCACTTCATGGGCATAGAGTGAAAGACAGCTTTCTCCAGACTACTGCCTGTACTTTCTTCTGCTACTGTTTGTCTGGGTGAGGGCAGAGGCATCACGGCTGTGTTCAGAGAACATTTCTTCTGTGGTCCGCTTTGTACATACAAACTGCCCTCTCCCCAAATGGCATCTTGCTTTTAATGACTGAGTTAACAAGTGCCTTGAAATAAACTTAATGTCTTTGTATTCTTAATCCATGGTTACTATGAGACTTAATGGTTTTTATTATTAGAAGCAGAAGTCTAATTCTCTTAATATTTTGTGTCTTATAGAAGTTTTTTGCCCGATTTAAGAAAAATTCTCTCCCTGCTTCCCACCCTCCTTTTGAAATTATAGTCACTGTCTGTGTATGTTTGTCTCATTCTCTTCTTTCTCTTAGGGCTTTGCTCTCATATAAAAATTGCCTTATTTGGAGTAATGCATTGAATCAGTGTTGCTCCGTGACTGTTTACTTTTCATCACTCTATGAGATCAGCGTCTCTGAACAATCTCAGGGTTATTCTGATTACATATTCCACTTAAAACAGATTTTTTAATTTTCATTTTTTAAACTTTTATTTCCCTAAGCCAAAGCAGATCAGTTATGACAAAGAGTAGAATACACTTGGTGTGGTTCCCTGCTCATAGTAGTTTATGTCCCCATTATAGGAAGATTCTTAATTTAAACTAGATGTTGCTAAATTTCTTTTTTTTTTTTTTTAATTTGAGAGAGAGCACGTGCATGAACAGAGGAGGTGCTTGGGAGGGGGTGGGGGGCGGGGTGGAGAAAGAAAGAGAGAAAGAATTCTAAGCAGGTTCCATGTTCACCACGGAGCCTGACATGGGGTTTGATCTGACGACCCTGACATCATGACCTGAGCTGAAATCAAGAGTCATACGTTTAACCAACTGAGCAACCCAGGCACCCCACTTATTTTTTATTTCTTTGTATTTAGAGTTGACCAATCTAGGATATATTGGAGGGTTTTTGTTTGTTGTTTATTTGTGCCAATCATGTTCCCAGTCAGCTAACTTTCCAACATTTCTACCAGATTTTCTCCCAGTATAACTGCATAGCAGATAGTCTTAAATTTATGCCAACAGTGTTTTGATATGTAGATTGCTTCTTTCTTAAAAAACTGTTTCTGTTTTCTTTAAATTGGTTCATTTTATTTAGCTTTCAATCTATGAATTCTCAACTTTTTTCTCTTTTGTTCTTTATTCTCAGGTTTTAGGACAAGTAGCTTCTGGAACTGTTTTTATGAAAAAGCAGACTATCTTCTATAGCAGGAATTGCTTTAATTAATTATATTTTGCTGCAAAAACTAATACTTTTGTAAAAGTCTGTCCTATTAAGGTTAGGCCTCCCCTGCTTTAGGCTCTAAAGCTTTATTTCTATTTTGTGAACTGCTACTCTGTGAAGGAAATAAATTGTGGGTTTGATGTTGAATGCTGATTGTTCATTTTTACTTTGTTATGTTTGATGTTAATTCTAATGTCAGTTTCTTTGCTGTATGTCCCTTTAATGACTTTCTAAGTGACTTGTAGTTCATTTTCATTTATGATATTTAGAATTGGATCAGAGGATCTTAGATGTGAATTCTGTTTTGGTTCCTCTTTGGCAGTATGAATGGGCAGTATAACTTCTTTAAACCTCAATTTCCTCATTTACAGAATGGGATGGTAGTTCCTACTTCATAGGATTATTATGAGAATTAAATGAGATCATATTTACTAGTACTCTTAGTAATGCCAGCCACACAGAAATATATGCTAACTAATAGGTAGAAAACTTATGGTGGGGAGATTGGAAAGAGTGTTAGTGGAAGTTTTCTTGCAGGAGTAACTTTTTTTCCCCTTTTTATTCCCAGTCACAAGACAGTGAAAGCTGATTGACCTAGTTTTATTGTTCTTGTTAAAATCATATGTTCCTGACAATCTAAAGATTCTCTAACTTTTTAATTACTAGTACACATGCCATTTAGAAAATGTGGTCTCCAGCACATTATTTTGATACCCAAGTGATAACATTATTTTTTGAATGAAACCTAACTTTGAGACTTAAATATATTTTCCAGGTCGGCAGTTACAAATAGCTGATTATGTAGTTCTTTTATATTGATCTGCTCTTCTCTTCTGTCACTTAAGATCCCTAGGCAGCTGACAGCAGTATCTGAATAGTGCCGTTTGAGTTTATATTCTGCTTTTAGTTGGTTGTAGCTGTCATGTGAGGAAAATGGCTCTTCAGCTTGAAGAATTTAATCCAGTCTAGGCACACCTGTGCTCCCTTTGCACTTTTTTTTTTTTAATGTTTATTCATTTTTGTGAGAGTGAGAGAGCGTGAACGGAGGAGGTAGAGAGAGGAAGACACAGAATCCTAAGCAGACTCTAGGCTCTGAGCTGTCAGCACAGAGTCTGACATGGAGTGTGAACCCACGAACCACAATCATGACCTGAGCTGTAGTCAGACGCTTAACCGACCGAACCACTCAAGTGACCCCTTTGCACTTCTTTTGAATGCATTGTTTTTTATTTTTATTTTGTGCCACATAGTAATATAGTTAGTACATAATTTACATTTATCACCCATAAGAAATAAATTTGGTTCTGTTCTAATCAGTTTTTTACCAGATCTGACAGTTTCTGCAATGCCATCATATGTTTTTCGATTAAATTAAATGCTTAGGTGATAGTTCTCCAATGTCAGACTTACTATGCCCATTAGTTATGCTCTTTGGTAGGTTCCCTACAGAAATGCCTACCCATGCATGTCAGATGCAAATGCAAAAATATTCACAGCAGCATCATTCACAGTTCAAAATTAGAAATAACCCAAAAGATCTTCAGCAGTCAAATGGAGAAATATACACTGGGTATATTTGATGAAAGATGCCTGACACAAAAGAATACATACTGTAGTATTACATTTATGTGAAGGTCAAAACACTAAAATTATAGTGTATTATTTAGACATGCATATTTGGGTAGTGTGGCTATAAAGAAATGCAAGAAATTAAATACCACAAAGTCGGGACAGTGGTTACCTTTATGGGGTTTTTATTGGAAAGGGAAACATGGGAAGCTTTAGGGGGTTGTGGTTAGGGTCTTTTGTTTGTTTTATTTTTTCTTTATTTGAGACAGAGAGAGAGAGGGAGGGAGAAAGTCAGCAGGGGAGGGGCAGAGGGAAAGAGAGAGAGAATCTGGAGCAGGTTCCATGTTCAGCATAATCCCAGAACCCTGGGATCATGACCCTAGCTGAAAGCAAGAGTCAGACGCTCCCAGGCGCCCTTGTGGTTAGGTTATGTTTCTTGATTTGAGCTGTAGTCATACAGACATTTGCTTTAAAAAAAAATTATTAACCTGTACTTTTGTGTTTTGTGTCCCTCTCTGTATGTTATTTGTCACAATAAATAAGTATGGTTTTAAAAGAGGGGAAAAGAATAATTATCTCCCTCAAAAAGAGGGAGTTTTTAAAAAGGAAGAAAATCCTGTACTTTATCTTTCAGTTGTGCCAGGCCAAATAGTTCTTTCAAGGCCTGCATTTATCATTATATGGAGGCTCTCGTCTGAGTCTCTGAGTAGCCTCTGACTTTTAGTGCTCCCAAAGAATTGAAGTGTTCACTCCAAGTTTGAGAACCAGTGGTTAGAAGCTTTTTTTAAAACAGTGTTCTTTTCAGGGTGCCTGAGTAGCTCAGTTGGTTGAACATCCTACTCTTGATTTCAGCCCACATCATGATCTGGGATTGAGCCCCGGGTGGTTGAGTGGGATTGAGCCTCACATTGCTCAGTGCGAAGCCTGCTTAGGTTTCTCTCTCCCTCTCTCTATCTCTTTGCCCCTTCCCTACTCTCTCTCTCTCTCTCTCTCTCTGAATAAATAAATAAACATTAAAATAAAACAGTATCCCTTTCCTCAATTATTTGATTATAGGCCACTAATGACTCATCAGATTTGATCGTCTAACCTTAAATATTTCAATAGTGACAATAGCAGCAGATAATTATTATTTAGCACTTAGATACTAGTACTATGCAAAACTTTTTGCATATTTAATTCTTAGTTTTTTAGAATGATGAAAACATTCAAATAATTTTTCCAAGTTTGATCCCTTTAAAAATATTCAGTTCATTCATTCAGCAAATATTTATTAAGCATCTATTATGTATATACCAGGCATTATTTTAGCTGTAGGGGGTACAGAAATGAACAAGACAAAGAAAGATTTGCCTTCATGGGGTTTACAGTCTCTGGAGGAGACAAAAACTAATAAACTAATAACATGTCAAGTAGTGATATGTCCACTGAAGAAAAATAAAAGAATGTAAGACAATAGGTAGCAACAAAGGTAACATAGGGAATTTGAACAGATTTGGGACTAAGCTAAGTGAGGAGTACATGTATCTGGGGAAAGAGTGTGTGAGAGAGAAACTGTGTGAAAACTAGAACTGGTCTGAAACTGCACTTTTAGAACAATAAAAATATTTTCTTTCTTTTCTTTTCTTTTTTTTAAATAAAGGGCCAGGTAGTAAATATTTTAGGCTTTGCAGGCTATAAATTCTCAGTTGCAACTACTAAACTCTGCCATTTTAGTGGAAAGCAGCCGAGGACAGTATGTACCCGAATACATTCGGCTTTGTTCCTCTAAAGCTTTATTTACCCAACAGGCAGCAGGCTGTTTTTGGCCCTGTGGGGCTTTAGTTGGCTGACCCCTGAGCTAGATAATATAGACTTTGTAAGGCATGGTAGGGACTTCAGATTTTTTCCTAAAGGTGAGCATTTTGAGTAATAAATTACCCTTTTTTTAAAAATTTCTTTCATGTTTATTTATTCTTGAGAGAGACAGAGACAGAGTGAGTGGGGGGTGTGTGTCAGAGAGAGAGCGAGACACAGAATCTGAAGCAGGCTCCAAGCTGTGAGCTGTCAGCACAGAGCCTGACGTGGAGCTTAAACCCACAAACTGTGAGATCATGACCTGAGCCAAAGTCGGGCGCTTAACCTACTCAGCCACCCAGGTGCCCCGAGTAGTAAATTACTCTTAATGTATGTTTATAATTTTTTAAACAAGGTGCTACTTAGATCTTCAACATACTAGAGAAAGATTGGAATGCCTTTCAAAGTCTGCATTTATATTATTTTATTATTTTGCTGTATTCATGTAACAACATTTGTGGAACCTGTTTTATATGTAAGAATTGTGTTGGGAATTAAATTATTGATGAGATAACTTCCTGCTGTCACGAGACTCTAAATTCCTATATTTATCACATTTACCTTGGTAATCCATGAGAAGTACTTAGTATTGCACCTGGCACACGGTAAATATTTGAAGGAATGAGTGTATTTCTCAAAGAGTTCATAGTATGTTGGGAAAGGTAGATATCAATAGATACCTGCAGTATAGCTTATTAGAGATGTGAATGATGGGCTATGGATGAGGAGAGGAGAGATACCAAATCAAACCAAGAGAAAGGAAGAGAAAATAAATTCCATTTTAAACATGGTGAGATTAAGTTCTCATGGGGTCACTAGGTGAAGATGTTTGGGAAGTAGTTAGACAAACATGTTCTGAGACCTACGAGAGAGTTAGACTAGGCATCAACATTTAGAAGTTATGCAAATATAGCAGGTAGTTAATGCTATTTAAAGTAAATTTGTTGTTGACAGAGATCTTGAAGATTAACACCTTTTTTTTCCTGGTAGAACTAAAAATTTTTCACTCCCTTCACAAATATAGATAATGCTGCATTGAAAATCTGTGCAATTGTCTCTTTCCAGGGTAATACATAAAATAGGGGCTGTGGGATCAAAGGACATGTCCTTTCAACATTTGCATAGGTGCTGTCAAAATTGCCCTCTAAAAATAAAATGATACCAATTTACACTCCTGCCAGAAGGACATGAGATTACTCTTTTACGCACCCCTCCTGGTACTGAATGTTTGCTGAACTGATAAGTGCATAAGGCCATGGTGTTGTTTCAGTGGGTAGACCCTGAACTCCACATGTTTACTAGACATTTGCTTTTCTTGGCCTGTGAATTCAATGTTGTTATTCTTTGCTCCTTTTCTGTTGTGGTGTTTGACTTTTCTTATTCGTTTTTGAAGTGCCTCACATTTTCGCTTGCCATCCCCATACTCCCTTTCCTTCTTCCATGCTTCATTTTTCTACATTGCCTCCATCTGACATACTGTTTGTTTCTTTATCCTCTCTCCTTCCTCACCCCATTAGAATGTATGAACCAGAAAGGCAGGGATTTTGTCATTTGTTCATTCTGATGTTTCCAGCACATAAGACAGTATCTGGCACATAGTAGGTAGCCCCTAATTAATTGTTCAATGAATGAATGAATAATAACCTTTTATCTGTTAATTTTTCAGATATTTTCTCTATGTCTGTCACTGGCCCATTAGCTGTGTTTTAGTGAGTGGTTGGTCATACAGAAAATTTTAATTTATATGAGGGCAGATCTGTCTGTCCTTTCACATATGGTTTTGTGTTCTGCATTATTATGCTTAAGGTCATTTTTTTTAACCTTTGAACCCCTTCACCCATTCCTTTCACCTCTACCCCTCCTACCTTGCAACAACCAATCTGTTCTCTTATCTATGAGATTGTGTGTGTGTTTTTTTTTAATTCCACATGTAAGTGAGATCATATGGTATTTATCTTTCTCTGTCTGACTTTATTTTACTTAGTATAATACCCTCAAGGTCCATCCATATTATCCCAAAAGGCAAGATTTAATTTTTTTAATGGCTAAGTAATATTCCATTGTGTGTATTTGTGCATACACATACACACCACATTTTCTTTATCCATTCATGCATCAGTGGACACTTAGGTTGTTTCCATATTTGGCTATTGTAAATAATGCTGCAATGAACACGGGGGTGCATATATCTTTTTGAGTTAGTGTTGGAAAAGAAAGTAGAGGGAATATTCCAGAAAATATAACAAAAAAGACATGAGCTGGTTTGAGGTTTTATTTAAGAAACAAAGGAGGAAGATCTAACATCTGAATAATAAGATTTCCAGAGTGTAGGAAGGGAGAGTGGGAGAAGAGAAATGAAACAGAATTTGTTAGAATAGAAGGTAATTTCCCAGAATGGAAGATAGGAGCTTCTAAACTGAAAGGATGCACTGAATGCTCAATGTGGTATTTTTTTTTGTTTATTTCTTTATTTTGAGAGAGAGGAGAGAGAGAGAATCCCAAGCAGTCTCTGTGCTGTCAGCGCAGAGTCCCACATGGGGCTTGATCTCATGAGTGGTGAGATCATGACTTGAACTGATATCAAGAGCCAGACACTTAACCAACTGAGCCACCTGTGAACACCAACACAATATTATTGTATTGTATTGTATTGTATTGTATTGTATTGTATTTTAATGTTTATTCATTTTTGAGAGAGAGCGAGTGAACACGAGCTGGGGAGAGGGACCAAGAGAGAAAGGGACAATGAGAGAATCTCAAGCAGGTTCCATACTCAGCACAGAGCCTGATGTGGGGCTCGACCCCACGACTGAGGGATCATGACCTGAGACAAAATAGAGAATTGGACGCTTAGTGGACTGGACTGAACCACCCAGGCGCTCAAAACGTTGTTCCTTCTTCAAAAACAATGTTGTGCTTCTAGGAAGTGAAATTCAAGAATGGAGTAGAGTAGGACAGAAGATGGGAAGGACAGCTTACATTATACATCTTGTAGGACTACCTTTTAAAAATTATCCAAATCTATTACTTAGACTTAAAATTTTTTTAAGGAGGCAGGGGCAAATAGTACCACATACTGCAAGGAGCCTGTGCAAAATGAAAATTATTAAAAGGAGCCATGGGCTTTGGAGGTTATAGTAATCTTGGAGCAGTTTCATTGGTTGGATGGTGGGTATAGAGTCCAAGCTACATTGGATTTGAAGAGTGAAGGAATAGAGAAATGACTTCATATACTGCAAACGTGTAAATTCAAGGAGACCAGCTGGCATACAGGATTAAATAAGGGGATAATTAGAATAGATACCATTCTCAGTGAAGCATAGAATATGAAAATCTGGATTTAAATAAATTATGAAGAAGCTGTATATTATACATTTACAGAGAATCACCTATAGAAAGAAACAAAACAAAACAATATTTGTTTTAATATCTTTAAATATTTGGCTCTTCTAAAATGATTCATTTTACTGAAGCATGTCATATATGCATCTGTGCTGAATTGTATCAATTGGGAAACTATTGGCATAACCTAATTTGTATTCTTTATTTAAATACATACTTTCTCAGAATTCCTTTATTTCAACTTCATATCCTTGATTTAAAGAGGGTTTATTTGTTATGAATCCTTTTTAAAACGGTCTAGGCTTTTTGACTAAGGTAAAAACTAATGAAAATAAAAGACAAATTGTCCCCTGCCCCCAGATTTCTGCATTAATCTGATTGTGCTGTTATAATTATAGTTCGAGTTTTCTTAGTTCTCCTTCCAGCTTCAAGTTTTTGTACAAGCCTAGTCATGGGAGTAATATTATCATCTTTAAATTTGGTCATGGAATGTGTTACACTGCCCCGCTCAGGGAAATGCTACTCGGTTTGGGCTTGGATAGTAACGTTTATTTTCTTTGGCAGAGAAGCTGATCGTCGAGGGGCATCTAACCAAAGTGGTAGAAGAAACAAAGCTTTCAAAAGGTTTGTTTTCTGTGGGTTTTCTGTGGGTTTTGAAAATTATTCTTTTGGACAATAGATGTTAGTGTACATTTCCAAGGTCATAATATTTTAACCATCAATTTATTTCTTATAGCTCACCAAATGGCAATCCAGTAATGGTATCATATAATATAAAATAGTCGGAGTTCTGTTGTAAGAAGGATATCTTAATTAGAAAGTTTCTTTTTAATTTTTAAATGGGTATATATGTGTGGGGTTTTTTGGTTTTTTTTTTAATGCTTGAAGTAGATTCTTTAGGTAGTAAAAGATTTGTTCTGATCTGTCTTGCTTCTAGCATTATTTTCAGGTTTTGTATTTGATATTTGTTACATTTGATATAAAATTTTAATTAAACACAATGTAAATCTTTTAATGAAACAATGTAAAACAGGTGAAAAATGCTTGCATGTCTGTTTCTGTAATTGTTATGCCTTTAACATTCCTTATGAAATTTATATTTTGTTAATTTTCGGCAACTCAATTTGATTTAAACAAAAGTGATTATGTGGGGTCTTCTTATATTTTATGATGAGAGTCTTATAAATTGAAATAGTTTATTCTATTAATTCTTTTCTGTTAAAATTGTCAGAGAAGAAAAGTGAGTTTTAAAGCATTATATTGTCGAGTCACTTTTATGCATTAGGGAAATTGGTCAAATAAATTTGGTATGATACGCTCATTATCATTATCATTATCATACCTAAGACTTTCATCAGAAGATACCGCTATAAAATTTATAACTAGATTCACAATCTTTTTGGCCAGTTAAAACAATGAGTGATAAAAGTTTCAAATACTCTACTTCAGTACATTTTGTTTTATGAACGTAGCTGAATCCATTTCGACTTTTAAAAATATTTAAAAGAAGAATGTTATTTCAAGTATCTGGTGGCTTCCGTTCTGAATTTTGTGCATGACAGATGCCATATTTGGGGAAAGAATGCATAGAATATGCATCACTAATATTGTTCTGGCAAACAGGCATTGGGTTTCAGAGCAATGAACTATTTTTAGTACATGTGGCAATTTATTTCATCTTATTAAAGTGAGATGAGAGCAGACTTCAACATAGCTTTTACTTCACCACAGAAGCACCTAATCAGATGAGTTGAATAGCCAGCACTCTGAAGTACAAGGAGAGCCTAAGGGGGAAAAATCAGTGCTTCTTAGTTAAAGAAAAATATCTTGCTACTTTAGTGCTTCTATTTAATACATTCTGAATTAGAATATATTTGCTTGAAATTATATGATGTAATTATTGAAAAAGATTTGTGCCACCTTACATTTGCTTTTGATACCTGGCCATAAAATATGTGCTGAAAGCTTTAAAGAGCATGCATTTTGATCCAGCAATCCCACTTCTGGGTTTTTATGTTAAGGAACAAATTAGACAGATATGCAAGGGTATTTACATCAATGTTTTAAAGCAAAAAGAGGAAAACAGAAGTGTCCAATAATAAGGGCATTTATTAATTATAGCAAGTAAGTCCACACAAGTAATAAAATACATCTGTTAAAATTGATAATATAGACACAAGTTTTACATACCCAGAGATTTTTTTGTCAGCAGTCAACATTTTACAAGCGTTTCTCACGGTTAATGTGCAGAGGTACACTAATCCTTGTAACAAACTAGATAAAATAAGTTACATTTTAAGAATTTCATATCTGGCTATAAAATATTTCTTTTGGATTTGGCTAAATCGTTTTATTTTAAAATGCTCTCATCAGTGACATTTTTGATAGGATTTGTTCTCTGCATGGAAAATATCAGTTGTGGGGCAGCTGGGTAACTCAGTCAGTTAAGCGTCTGACTTTGGCTCGGGTCATGATCTCACGGTTCATGGGTCAAGCCTTGCGTCTGGCTCTGTGCTGACAGCTCAGAGTCTGGAGCCAGCTTCGCATTCAGTGTCTCCCACTCTCTATGCTCCTCCCCTGCTTGTGCTCTGTCTCCTTCTGTCTCTTAAAAATAAATAAAAACGTTAAAAAAAAATATCAGTTGTTAGAAATTGCTAATTACCAGCTGTTACAAGTCTAAGTGTTTCCTTCAGATATTTCATCTAATGCAAAATATAATCATAGGTTGCATGTGCTTTCTATTTAAACCCTAACTCAACTCGTAGTCATTGTGTGTTTACTGTAGTCTTAGGGTGGAAGTAGAAAGAATACTAGTAGATAAAACAGATGGTTTCAACCCCAGGTACTACCACTAACTAGCTGTATGCCCTCAGGCAACTCACTTTAGCTCTTTAAACTCCAGTTTACTCATGTGTAAAATAGAATTGACAATATTTAATTGTGGGAATTTAATGAAATATTGCTCACAAAGCAAGAAACATTGTTCTGGTATTCAACAAATGTTTAGTTCTCACTTCCCTTCTTGCTTTCCTTTCCAACTAACGGTTCCATTGGTATAGGAAGTGGTCTCTGGCCAGTGTTTTGCCCATCCATCATAATGTCTTCTCAGAGATACAGTGAAAATAGTCACCTTGCAGACTTTCCAGTTTGGGAACAGTTTTGATATTGGTGTTGGTAGCTATTCTTCTGTTTCCTTCTATATATTATTGGTGTGTATCTTAATGATTAAGTACTGCACAGAAAATCAACCAGTAAGGAGGGTTCGTTCTCTCTTTCTTTCTTTCTTTCTTTCTTTCTTTCTTTCTTTCTTTCTCTCTCTCTCTCTCTTTCTTTCTCTCTCTCTTTCTTTCTTTCTTTCTTTCTTTCTTTCTCTCTCTCTCTCTCTCTTTCTTTCTTTCTTTCTTTCTTTCTTTCTTTCTTTCAGTTTATTTATCTTGAGAGAGAGAGAGTGAAGGAGGGGCAAGACAGAGAATCGCGAACCATAAGATCATGATCTGAGCTGAAACAAAGAGGCAACCAACTGAGCCACCCAGGCGCCCCAGGACTTGCTAATACTAGAAAGTTGGGTGCTGCTTCATAGCTAAAGAATGGATGTTTTAAAAAGAAGGAGATACTCTACTTCTCTTTTTTTGTGTCCTGTGTTTCATTCTTGAGTAGATTTGGTTTGCCTCCATATAATAATTGTAATATCAGGATATAACAGTGATGGACCATAATTTGACTTGCTCAAAACTTTGTCTTCTTACTCAAAGTAGACTTGTGCCTTCAAACATCTGATTTTGGAGCACCTACTATGCACTGTGCACTGTTTTCTGCAATGGGGAGATAGCAGTTAACAAAACAGACAAAAATCCCAGCCCTCATGGAACTTAATATTCTAGTAAGATCTTAATGGAAGATTTGGTCCCACCTTTAATTTTACTTTCCCAGCTAATACTTTAATATAAGATAGAGTTCCTTCTAAGCCAGAAGAATACTTTTGAAAATATAGTCTTCTTGGTTTACCTCAGTATCTTGATCTTAAAATTGCCAAGAATTTTAAAATCAGAAGACAGTCATTTTTCTATTCTCCCACAGTCATCCCTTTTCTGTGTATAGATTAGAAGTATTAGCCTGCCTTGTTTGAGACTGTAACTTTGTGATTAAAACTAGAACATTCAGAAATGTCTGATTATAGCACACTGTGAATGCACCAGAGGTCATAGATTGGATTCCCATGGGCCTCTGTGGTCAGTGACTTCACTTCTAATCTAAGCTCTGTGTCTCTCAGCAGTTGTCCTCGGACTAGAAATGGCGGTGAGAAAAGAAGCAAGAGTCTTCTTGCAATCTGTCACCTATTTCACAAATTAAGCCACCAATTCTAAGGATGTTCTTAATGAAATGGTCATAATAAGTTACATTCTAATATTATTAAATATATTTTAATATTAATGGTTTTGGATGTTTCTGATTACTTTCAAAATGGAAAATATCTCTTGATTTAGTTGATTATAAAATAATATAATTTTTTCAAACGATGTATGACATTATGAAGTTAGAAAGTAAATATCTGCCATGACCCTAGCTTCAGATATATGATCATGAGTATCTCTGTTGTAGATCCTTCTAGACTTCAATAAATATGCACAACTGAAAATTCATAGCTAAATGTATAGCTATTTTCAATCTTTTTTTTTTTTTTAATTTTTTTTCAACATTTATTTATTTTTGGGACAGAGAGAGACAGAGCATGAACGGGGGAGGGGCAGAGAGAGAGGGAGACACAGAATCAGAAACAGGCTCCAGGCTCTGAGCCATCAGCCCAGAGCCCGACGCGGGGCTCGAACTCACGGACCGCGAGATCGTGACCTGGCTGAAGTCGGACGCTTAACCGACCGTGCCACCCAGGCGCCCCGCTATTTTCAATCTTAATGGGGTCATATTATGCACTGTTCTTTAGCAACCTTTATTTTTACTTAATAGTAAGGAATATATCTTGAATGTTTTCCATACCATAATGAACAATGCTGCAATGAACATCCTTATAATACTATGTGAAGTCTTTTTTCCTTAGAAGTACTAGAAGTAGATACGCACATTTAAATGTTTGGTATGTATTACCACAAACAGTATAGCCAACAGCATAACATTATGAAAAAATAATCATATGCCCAGGGAATTTATAATCTAACTAAAGAAATCAGATACATATATACACATAGAATATAAAATAGAACATGATTAATTACAAAATCATATGACACAGAGAAGCTGCAATAAAAAGGAGCAGCATGATGGAGAAATGAAGACTTTGTTAGAGGTATTGGGGCTTAAGCTGCATCTTAATGAATAGGCCAAGTAGAATGGTCATTGAGTTTAGCAAAATATCAACTCAAGCAAAGAGTTAGAGGTCGTAGTGAGCTGGCATGTCTCAGCCCTGTAAAGAGGCTAGCCTGACTGAAACAGAGCTCATGTGTGAATTAATGCAGAGACCAAATTATAGCTAAATCCTGGGATATAAAACTTGGCTGAGGCCTTGTGGAGAACAGGGAAATGACCATCTCTGTAAATGCGATTCAAATGCACGCCATAGAACATGCAGATGTGCCATTAGAGATAAGGATCTAATTGCCGGTCATCTTTAATAACATTGGTGGGCTTATAATTAGGATTTTTGAGAGCAATTTGTTGAAAACAGGGCCTGAGATATCTTCATTGGATCAGGCAGCACAGCACTTGCAAATAACCCCAAAACTTGGTATAACTATTGCTAAGGCAACCTAACTAGTGTTTTTATATAAGAGAGCCATTTCCTTTCATCATTTTCAAACAATGTCCACATTGTCCTGGAACTTTGCTATATTTGTTGCAGTTCTCTGCATACTTTAGCAAAGCTTGCTTCATTTTTGTTTCTAGTTGGCCAGTGGACAGCCTTGACAAAAGCCCCAGCCCTCTGCACAGCAGACAAGATCCACATTATAATTTAATATGAGCCATGTGTAATATCCAGCATTCCATTTTGGAGTGGAGTGGTGAAGAAGTAAGAGAGGCAGTGACCTCAGTTAATTTTAAAAGTATTTTGCATATCAGTAGATTTAGAGCTCTCAAAGCCTAAGGTGGTTTTATTGATATAGTTGTAATGAGATTCTACTTTTATTTTTTTTCTTGGTAGAAAACCAGGCAAGAGCAAAGGAATCTGATTTGTCGGATACTCTGAGTCCAAGCAAGGAAAAGAGTAGTGACGACACTACAGGTGAGTTGTAACATAGTATTTGCAAATCTACAGATATTATTATTACTGTCTGAGCAGTTTAGGTATGCAGGTTAATGTGAGTGGAGATTTCAAAGTTTGTGTTTGGGGGAAAAGGCAGTCTCCTTCCGTTTGTGGAGATACTCCCTTGAACCTTGGATATATTGTTAAAATTACTTTCACCTATCCAAATACAATACCTGTATAAATTTCACTTACTTATTTTGATAGTGATAGCTTGATGATAGAGCTGATTACTGTTTGTAATTATCTTTCCCCCCCTGCAGACGCCCAAATGGATGAGCAAGACCTAAATGAACCTCTTGCTAAAGTGTCCCTATTAAAAGGTACTTTAACATGTTTTTATAACATTTTAAATCAGAGCATCAGATTTACCACAAAATTGCGTGTCTTATGTGAAGTTTTAAGTTTAGTTAAAAGATTAAGATAGGTTCTCTAAAGTAGCAGGAACTAAAATTTAAAATGTTGGTGTTGGTGCCGATGCTTCAAATGAAAATATTTCAATTGTAAAATAATTTGGATCAATCAAGGTTATGAAGGGCAGAGTGGTAAATGGTAGGAATATGAAATGCAGCTGTGTTTTTTTTGTGTTTACCTTTATATTGCTGAGAGAAGCTCATTACCACCTTTAACATAAATTAGAAAGAGAAGAAAATATTAATGTTCTTGAAAGAATTACCTGTTTTCTCTGTTGTCATATGGTAACAGTTGTAAATTTCCTCATTTTCTGGCCCTCATCCTCCAGTAAACATCCCCAGGTTCTTAGGACAGTCTTCTAGAAATTTTAGGTAGGCCTAAGATAAGCAGTGCATGTAATAAACTTTCACTCATATCACTTCTAAATGAGAACTACATTTATTTCTTGATATTTACTTATTTAGACTGATAATAATAGTAAATAAGTCAACATTTATCGAAGTGTTTTTAAAATAAAGTGCTTTGGGTGGCCTACTGATAAGTTTGTGATTGTTACCATATAGTCTCTTTTATATTGCCTTTTGTATACAGGATAAATTGGCATATAAGTTCAGCCCACTGGACTAACCGTAGGCAACTGTCTGGAATGAGCAAAAACAGCCTGTGGAAGTTTCTCTGTGTAGAGATGCTTATGCTTCTGGCTGGGCTTTTAAGGAATCTCTTAGTCCAGACCCTGGGTTTTGGATTATATAAGGAAGCCTTAGTTTCACCCTATATGACCCTGCTGCTGGCCTAGTTGTCAGTGATAGGAATTAACAAAGAGATTACCCAGATTCTTCTAGAGATCCTTAATCTGGGCATCCTGGCCTTCTCTCTTCTTCCCCCTGGATAGTAAAGCTCGCATTACTCTTTGAGGTACCTCTGACTGAATTCCATTACTAAGGGAAGCTCTGAGGATTACTGGCCCAGGCAGCACAATTGTCAACCTGTCTTTCAGTACAATCATAGTTTCCAGTACTTTCCTGGCACTCTTACCGATCTGCACTCTTCCCAGGTGACCTTTGGTGTTGATGAGGTTTTCTAGCGTTGTAGTAATAAGTCTGAGTTAATGTTTGCATAGTCTAGAAGTCTCATCTTGGAGCATTTCTGATTCTTCTCAGAAATGCAATACTGTTGCTGTGTAAACTGTTACTGATGCTCAAAAACTGTCGGAACCCCTGGGCCTTTGTGGGAACATAGAGAAACAAGAGTAATGAGCACCTGTCATACAAAAGTAGCTGTTTTATGGTCTTTTTTACTATAGAAATCTCCCAGAAATCTTTTCAGCAGCCAAGTGCACATTGATTTATAAGTAACAATTATGCTTGTGTTAATTATATTCAACTGTTACTAGTGCTCTTGTGATTTTATGTGTCAGTCTGTTTTATATTTTACTTTTATCCTGTTGCCTACCACAATGCCAGATGTTCAGTTATTTGTTGATTGAATTAACAATAGACCTCTTACATCAAAGTTATAAAACCATAGAGTGTTAGGAAAGTGACACACTCTACCTAAGAAGTTGAGTCAGAGAGCTCTGGGTTCAGTCCCAGCTCTGCCATTTATTTGTAATTTGTCCTTAGGCAAATTGCTTACCCGCTTTGTGCTTCAGTTTTTTTCGTTTGTCAAATTGAAATTTATTGTGAGGATTAAATGAGATAATGCATGTAGATCACTCACCATGGTGCTGGGAACATAACCTGTTAAGCATCATGGTGAAGACACTGCTAATAATGATGTTGGTGATTGACAAAAGCAGACCTATGTGTTAAAGAGTAACTTTTCATTAATTGAATAAGATTATGGGGTTTAAAAACTATTATTTCCTACTATATCTTTTAGGGGAAGCAGTTAGTGGTGGTAAGCCTAAATGGTTGTTTTTCCATTATTCCTCTTTTGTAAGACTTGTATAATTTCTTGAAAATAATATATTCACTGGCACCTATTAGAAGCACTTGGGTTATGGTTGATAGTATGTGGTTATGCTTTGTAATCTCTATGATTAGGTTTAAATGAAAAATATCAATTATTAAGCCATAGTGTTAACCTTGAGAGTTGTACAAAGTAGTACAAAGTAGTTGTCCTTTTTTTTCCTCATTGAACCCCTGTGCTTGACTTTTTGAACCGCTGTTTTTGTTTTTGTTTCTTTTCAAATTTTTTTTTAATGTTTATTCATTTTTGAGAAACAGAGTGCAAGTGGGGGGTGGGGGGCAGAGACAGTGGGAGACATAGAATCTGAAGCAGGCTCTAGGCTCTGAGCTGTCAGCACAGAGCCCAATGAGGGGCTTGAACCCACAAACCGTGAGATCATGACCTGAGCTGAAGTCAGACGCTTAACTGACTGAGCCGCCCAGGCACCCCTGAACCACTGTTTTTAAATTTTATTCTTTCCCTTCTAAAAAAAAAAAAAGGGCCAATCTTGATTTAGAATTATAATGTGCTACCTTTCGTGTTAATCACCTAGTATGAGGAAGAGAATGAAATAGATCAAATATTCACCATGAGATATAAATAAAATGAGGATAGCAGTAGTGCCTTTTCCCTGAAATATTATTTTCAACCAATTTATGACATTTTTGAGGGAGAAATAAAGATGTGACTTGAACCACAAGTTTCTGTATGTTTAATCATTTCCCCCAAAAAGGTAAAAAGAAAACCAGAATTCAGTCTAAGTAGTATCTAATGCAAGTTTGCTCTATAAAAGGAACTATGCCAGGGACTTCAGTGGTTTTAAACTCCGATAAGACTGTCCTTGGGGTTTGAGGAGTTTCTAGTCCAATTCGTGATAGGAGAGGTATAGATAATAAGCTGCTTCCTGGTGGTTGTTTAAGGACAGAGAAAGAAAGAATGGGCAGTTTTTTTGTTCCTTTTTGTTTATCTTGGAAGATGGGCAGGAAAGGCAATTTGAGCCTCATGAAGGAAGTATCATTTGAGATGGTCCTGAAAGTGTGTCATACACATATGGCCTATTCAGTGACAAAAACTGAGTCCTGAATCTGGTTGGGATTCTAGATCCAACTGCCAACTTGCAGGATGTGTAAAGAACTAGGGACATTACCTAAATGAGGTGCTGGGGATACAACAGCGAAATCCAGAATGTGGAGAATTTTCTAGGACACACAAAAGTAAGTTGCAAGGTTTGTGGATAAAAAGGAAAGGAGGATTGGGAAGCCTATGAATTAAAAGAGATTTAAGAGATATGTCAACTAAATGCAGTGTGTGAACCTTGTTTGGAGCTTCATACAATCCAACTGAAAAAGAATTTGAGACAGTGGGAAAACTTTAATACTGACTAGATACTTGATATTAAGGAATTGCTTGTTATTTGCAGTGTGATAATAGCATTACAGTTATTTATTTTTTTGTTTTTCTTTTAGAGATCTTTTTTGTTTTTCTTACCTTTCTTATCTATCGAGATACAGATTTTTTTAAGCGGGTATGATTATAAGAGGAGATCGAGATACCTTCTTAGACAAAGGGAATATTAGAAACCACAAGCTAGATAATTTGGGTTGGGTTTGACAAGTACAATTGAAGTTTGTTCACATAATCATTTGAGTGTTTTGTAGATTGCAGTGATTCTTTTGGCAGAATTCTATAGCTTCTAAGTGCAGAAATGATATGATGAGACCTGTATTTTGGGGCGATTTGTTGGATGAACTGGAATAGGTAGAGGCTGGAGGTAAGGCAACCAGTTAGGAGGCTTAGGTAATCATTGAGAGTATGAACTAGAATGCCTGCTGTGAAAATTTAAACAAAGAACAAAATCCAGTTTGGGTCCCTGTTCTTGTCTTTATCATCTTTCCTTCAGTAATCTTACCTTGAATCTGTAGTCCTAAGGAACTGAATATGAGAGATAAATGGAAGTTAGATAGAATTCCAGCATTTGACCCTGAGTTACTAAAAGGATGGTAGTGTTATTAACAAGAATATTATTTCTGGAAGAAGAGATGTCCTGTGAGGAAAGTGATGGTTTAAGTTTGAAACATCACTTCCTGTTCACATCATTGAACAGAGAGGGTGACCTGAACATAGATTCTGGTTTGCCTGGAACCATTTATGCCCATGGTCCCAGCACAATTATTAAAAGTGCTTCCTTTCACATTCAGAGGTGCTCCAGTTTTGTATTGTCATCCAAGGAACCAGAAATGCAGTTGGAAGTGCAAGACAGAAAGTAGGACCAGAAAGTCATTTTCACTTATTTCTGAGGTATTTATTGACCCAAGAGATACAGAGATATGACACGTGAGGAGGCTGCAGTCTTATGGAGGAAAGAGATATGTTGATAGTATAGTAAATGTTTTAATGGGTGTGGTAGAAACTTTGGAGAGCAGAGCTAACTTCCTGGCTAGGGCAGGGTTTGGGTAGAACAGTAGTCAGGATAGGCTCCCTAAATGAGGTGGTTAAAGATAAGTCAGAGTATGCCAAGAAGGGAAAAGGAGCCATGCGTTTCTTTAAAATACTGCCTTCATTTACAAGTAGAAATAATGTTTAAAGTCTGAATAACATCTGTCAGAGACAGGGAAGTGTACAAGAACACAAGTGTGATGGAGCACAGGCTATGTGGCACAAATGTAATGAAAGGTAAGACTTGGTCAGAAAAAAGGCAGTAACGTGTTTGGGAATTTTCTGCATAAGAGAATTGGACCATTATAGCAGGGAGAACTTAAGGAGAAAGAAAAGGACAATGGGGAGGATGGAGGAGCCAACAAAAGAACCAGTTGTCAAGAACCCAGCTGGTCAGAAGGAATGGCAAAGAAGCAAGAACCGACAGTAAAAGGATGCTGCCAAACTTAAATTCATAGTTAGGGTGCCACCTAGGACTATCTCACATGGCTGCACATACTTATGATGGAAAAATGATCTTTCTGCACTGTGATGGTTATTCTCATCAACCAAGCCTGCAACTGCCAGACCTTCCAAAGTGACAGCAGTCGTAGTAGAAAGAGGGCGCATTCACCTGGCCAGCTGCCTCAGCCAGATCACTTCTGTTAGTTGATGAGGTAACTATCATGACGTTGAGGCTACATCAGCCTTCAACACACACATGCAAAATAGGACTTGGGAAGAAGTGCTTTGATTTGGCCCTTTTCCACATGATCCAGAGTATCTCAACCATGTTTAAAGCAAAGGTCGGGTTTTAAATCAAACCTCCAGAATTTAAGTTAAAACCTCTAAGTTAAAACACCAAATTCAGTTTAGGATATCTTGTCTGTATTGTGTGTGCCAGGGCTGATTCATTTCTGGGTTCTTCTATGGTGTGGATCTCTTTACAGAATTTAGCCTTAGTCTAAGAAAAGCTGGCCCCTAGCCCAGACTACATACACCAGGCAGTTCTAAGGATACACTATTTATGTGAAGGAGAAAACAGATTCTGTTAATCTTTCCACTTTATCATGGTTCCTAAAAAACATTTATTTCTGTTTGACTTGCACATCTAAATAAAATGGATTTGGCTTAGAAAGGCTTTCACTTATTTTCATCTAAACACTTTCCACCAGTCCTCATCACAACACTTTCCCCAAGATTGTGAAGTAGCTTCATACAAAAAATCCCTTCCTGTGACAAAAGTAAGGCACTTTGAGAGAGGATCCAAGCCATAGTAAACTAATAATGCATTTTCCCACATAACCATATGAAATACAGTGTGCACTTATCAACCTTAGCAGAAAAAGATTTGCTTATTGGTCTTTGATAAAAAAATTGGCACTTGGTTTTCTGTAAACAGAATCTGTACAGTACTTACTTGACTAGTTTGAATATAGTCTTTGTGTATATCATATCATATCATATCATATCATATTATATTATATTATATTTAATTTGTAAAGATTTTTGATCAGTATCTTCAACTTCTATGATCAAACACTATGTAGAATTTGTATGTGTCCATTATTTGATACATGGCATCTTATTTGCTCTAATTAAAATGCCGATCCTTTTTCCTATGTGGTACAAAGAAATAATTTGCAAATAGTAAATCCCTTGTTAGCACAATTTATTAATGTGTAGGTTATATTTAGTTTTCTGAAACATAATTACTTAACATAAAATCTGTTCCATTGTTTTTAGTTTAAAAAACAAGTATTAGTTTTGTTTCACAACATCACTGATCGAGGGAATTGTTCTGCTGCAGACAAAAACTGTCTGCTTTAATAGACCTTAAAGATGGATTATATATGATTCTTCATTTATAAAATGAAATAGTTCTCTAGTTATTATATTAATTCATATATGATTATTATGTTTATTTTTTAAATCTACACATTTTAGATGCAAATCTTTGGTTACCTTTTATATCATTAATCAGATAGTTAAGTGCCCATTGTATGTCTAGCATTGTATTAGATGGAGTATATAGTATTTCCATAGAGTATGGAGCGTAAGTGTGAAACATATATGCATTTAACATGCATTACTAAAAGGAAATCCCTGATAGGAACCCTCTTATTTCTGAAGAAAAAGTAAGAGTTGGTTGTTAGGAACGGATGCTAATTAAAGCTGATTTCTGCGATATAACTAAGAAGTTACCATGGAAAGACAATTGGATTAGAGTGAGAATTCTAGTCCTTTCTCTACCACTTCCCAGATGTGTAAGCCATTTCAGATCTCTGGACTTTTATTTCCTCATTTGTTAAATGAAATGAGTAGGTCTCTTCCAAACTTATATGTATCTATATGGGTTCATGCTCCTTTAAAAAATGAAACTAGGGGTACCTGGGTGGCTCAGTTGGTTGAGGATTTAAGTCTTGATTTTGGCTCAGGTCATGATCCCAGAGTTGTAGGATTGAGCCCCACATTGGACCCTGCGCTGAGTGTGGAGCCTGCTTGGTATTCTTTCTCTGTCTCCCTCTGCCCCTTCCCCATTCCCACACTCTCTCTCTAAAATTAAAAAAAATTTTTTTTTAATGAAAGAAAATGCTATTGAACAATTAAGAGAACTTGTAAAGAGCTTATCAGTTTGCTTAGGTTTTACTGTCAAGCTCTTGAAATCAGGCAAGAGACCACTGTGCACTAGGAGTTAGATGTCAGGGGGTTAGATGCAGAGGCTTCAGCCTGGGCTTTAAAGGATGGGCAGGCTTGGAGGAGTAAAAGAGAATGCATGAGCAAAAGTGTGTGAGGAAAGTAGTCATGAGGCAGAGCTACTAAGGAGACTAGTAGGGATTGAGTATATTAGTGACTAGTGGAAAATAAGTAATGACTGGATTGTGGAGAAATTTAGAAGTCAGATAAAGATGTCTGCACTTGATACAAAAGAAAGTCAATATAGGTTCTTGATCTAAGTAAGAGAATTGCTTTAATATCCCCATGTAGGATAGAATGCAGAAGGGCAGGAAAGGTTAAGGGCAAGAATTTGGACAGAAATGATTGGTGCTTATTCTAAGATTGTAGCATTGGGATTGGTAATTTCACTTATCTTTTGTAATTATGAAAAATTTCAAACACAAGAAAAGTTGAAGAGTACCAAAAACACTCATATATTTATGATTCAACAGTTGTTAGTGTTTTGCCATATTTTCTTTATTTTGATTTTTTTCTTTTTTGTATGTATATGTAGATATGTGTTTTTAGAAATGCTTCTTTTAACTTTTTATTTTAGTAAAGTATTTTTTAAATTTTAAGTGTATTTATTTATTGAGAGAGAGAGAGAGAGCAAGCATGTGAGTGGAGGAGGGGCAGAGAGAGAGGAAGAGAATCCCAAGTGGGCTCCACGCTGTCAGCATGGAGTTCGGCATGGGGCTCTGTCTCACAAACCGTGAGATCATGACCTGAGCCGAAATCAAGACTTAAATGCTTAACCGACGGAGCCACCCAGGCACACCTTAACTTTTAATTTTAATACAGTTTCAGACTTAAAGAAAAGTTATAAGAATAGAACAAAGAATTCCATGTACTCTTCATCCAGATTTCTCCAAATGTTAACAGTTCACTGCATTTGCTGTTACCACTTTACAGGATTTGATTTATCCATTTCCTTCCCTCCTCCATCCACCTTCCTCTCTCTCCCTGACCAATTGAGAGTAGATTGCAGACCTGATAGCCTTTACTCCTGAATACTCCAGTGTTTATTTCCTGTTTCTCTTACATAGCCACCATATAACTTTCACAGTTAGGAAAGTAACATTGATATATTACATGATCACATTCACAGACCTTATTCACACACATCTTGTCAGTTGTGTCAATAATGTCTTTTATAAAGAAAAATAATGTCATTATAAGAGAATATCTTGAGTCATACATTGTATTCAGTATCATGTGTCTTTATTCTCCTTTAATCTGGAACAATTCCTCAGTCTTTGTGTTTCGTGACATTGACATTTTTGAAAAGCACGGTTATTTGTGCAATGTTCCTCAGTAATAATATTGGACATCATATCAAGTGACAACTGATGTTGAATTTTTCTGTCACTGGTGATGTTAACTTTGTATACATATCCTGTTACTTCTCAACTTTTATCTACTTAGTGGTAGCATCTACTGAGGCTTCTTGCCTGAATCAATTATTACTATAATAGTTGCCAAATAGTAATTTCCTAATTCTTATTCCTTCTACATTTGTCAGCTGGCTTTCTAATATAAGGAAAAATTTTCTTCTCTTCCCTTCCCTCCCTCTCTTCCTTCTTTCTTTCCTTCCTTCCTTTATTTATATCATTGTGACATCATGGACTAATGTGTTATTCAGTGGCTTATAACCTTTCTTTGTCATTATTTATTTTGATGCTCACGTTGCCCCATGTTTGGCCAGTGGGAGCCCGTTGTATCTTTTCAACATAAACCAACCATTCTTCGAACCCTTTCCTACTTTCTGACCCAAAAGATGTTTTACGTTCATCTTGTACTTTCCTACCCTTAGCAGTGAAATCAACAATTTCTCCAAAGAGCTCTAGTTCTCTTTCAGTGGAGAATAGTATTTAGAAACTAAGATCTGAGTATTTGGTGTGTTCATTGCTTCTAGGCCCACTCAGCAGACATTAAAGAAATAGATGTGCACATATACTTATGCCCACACATATGTGTATGTGTATATATACAGCCTCATGTACCTGTATTTATTTCTACATCTACATTTGTCTACACATTCAGATCTATTTGAGTTCATACTCTAATTCGTACCCTACACCACAGGATTAATTTCGTCTTCCCTGTTTCCATATCTTTAATTCTATTCTCCAATGATGAGAAACCTGGCTCTCTTTATCTACAGTATTTATTTGATCACTTTTAGAATATACAAAAAGCAGTTTCAGAGGTACTAATCAGTGCTTCTGTGGAAGAGAAGTCTACGTATAGATTTGTTTGCTCTTGGTTATCACATTATTAAGATGGAACAGTAGTTCTCAACGTGGAGCAGTTTTATCCCCAGAGGGACATTTGGCAATATATGGAAACGTTTTGGTTATTACAACTCAGAAGGAATGCTACTGGCATCTAATGAGTAGGGACCAGGGAAACTACTAAACATCTCACAATTGGCAGCTCTTTCTGCCCATGGATCCTGTCCCTGTGCTTTAATAAAATCACCTTTTTGCACCAAAAAAAACAAAAGAAAAACAAAAACCCATGTCACAATCCACAGGACAGCCTCCTGAATAAAGAATTATTCAGCCCCAAATGTCAAAAGGGCTAAGTTAAAAAAAAACAACACAAACAGTGGCACCTGGTTGGCTCAGTTGGTTGAGCATCTGGCTCTTGATTGCGGCTCAGGTCATGATCTCACAGTTCCTGGGATAGAGCCCCACGTTGGGCTGTGGAGCCTGTTTGGAATTCTGTCTCTCCTTCTCTGTCTGCCCCTCCTCCTCCCTCTCTTTCTCTCTTTCTCTCTTTCTCTCTTTCTCTCTTTCTCTCTTTCTCTCTCTCAAAATAAATAAAATATAACTTAGGGGTGCCAGGGTGGCTCAGTCAGTTAAACAGCCAACTTTGGCTCTGGTCATGATCTCACAGTTCCTGAGTTCGAGCCCCATGTTGGGCTTGCTGCTGTCAGTGCAGGGCTCACTTCAGATCCTCTGTCTCCCTCTTCTCTCCCCCTTCCCCACTCTTGTGTGCTCTATCTCTCTCAAATAAACATTTGAAAAATAAATAAATAAACGGGGGCGCCTGGGTGGCTCAGTTGGTTAAGCATCCAACTTCAGCTCAGGTCATGATCTCATAGTTCGTGGGTTCAAGCCCCATATTGGGCTCTGTGCTGACAGCTTGGAGCCTGGAACCTACTTTGGATTCTTTGTCCCCTTCACTCTCTGCCTCCCCCCATCTCGTGTGTGTGTGTGTGTGTGTGTGTGTGTGTGTGTGTGTGCGCACACGCGCACATGCACACTCTCAAAAATAAATATTAAAAACTTTTTCTTAAGATAAAAAATAGATAAATAAAAATAAAATTTAAACACACACACACACAGAGAACCAAGAAATTATCCACTGAAGGATTTTATGTAGTTTTTGGTGTGGTTTTTTTTTTTTTTGCTAACCCACTTGAAAATAAGGTGCAGGCATCATGACATATCCCTCCTAAATACTCCTGACAATAACGACATTGTCCTACGTAATGACAAATCCAGAGATGGGCAGCTGGGACTTTTGCAGACTCTAATGTGTGGTGTTAGAAGAGAAATTTTGTAGTTGCTGTGACAGTGCTCCTGCCAACTGTAAAATCTCTCTCTGTTTACATGCCTCCCTCTTTACCAAGAGACCATTTGAAGGAAGAATTGATAGGTTGACTAGAATAAATGAAACCAAGCTCAAAATTACTTTTCCCTGCAGGAAGAAGTAGGATATAGTCTAGGAGTATGAAAATATTGGTATGTAACATCTAAGACCAGCTGTAATCATATTGTAAACTTTTATTTTTAGCTTTTTTTTTTTTTTAAGATTTTATTTTTAAGTAATCTCTATACCCAACCTGGGGCTCAAACTTACAACCCCGATGCTTTACCAACCAAGCCAGCTAGGTGCCCCTCTTGGCTCTTTTTTTAGTAGTTATGCCTGAGCTACTTGTAAACCAAAGTAATAGTCAAATAGAATGCACTAGAAGAATGTGGTCTAACTGATAATATACTTATTTCAGGCAGTGTTCAATAGCAGAAAATTTGGGGGCACCTGGGTGACTCAGTCAGTTAAAGCATCCAACTCTTGATTTCAGCTCAGGTTATGATCCCAGGATCGTGAGATTGAGCCCTGTTTCGGGTTCTGCTCTGATAGCACAGAGCCTGCTTGGGATTCTCTCTCTGCTCCTCTTCGTTCACACTCATGTGCTTTCTCTCTCTCTCTGTCTCTATCTCTGTCTCTGCTCTCTCTCTCTCTCTCACACACACACACACACACATAAATAAATAAACTTTAAAAAAATTGCAAAAAATTTTAATACAGTAAAAGATGAGCAGAGTGACGAGAGGAAAGACATTAAAGGACGGGGCATATTTGAGACGTAATGCTGGATCTAATTTATTTTGATAAAATCATTTAGATTACATCATTTAATTATTGAGCAGGTATTTGTTGTGTGTGTAGCATTGGGGAAATACTGATGACAAAGTGAGAATGGTGGAGATTTCTTATTATGTTTCCCACAACTGGGGAAATAATGCTAAAATACTTTTTCTTGAAGAAAAGTTTGTTTTTGTTTTCCATTTCCAGTTCCAAGTGAAATTTTACTGACTTGTTATCAAGCAATTTCAAAATAAAGAAGACTGGCATTATGCCCATCTTACTGAATGTCAAGCCTTACATGAGCTCTACATGAGTGAAATGTATAACTTAGTATATATTAATATGTTTTATAATACCATTGCTATGAATTACTAATATATATTTAACTGTACTTGTGTTCTTTGTCCAGGGCAAAATGACTAAAATGCTTAATATAATTTGCTTCTAAATTTTACTTAACTTAGTTGTGCTATGTTCTTTAACTGTGCATGTCTAAACATGAAAAAGATGGCTAATACGTGGATGTAGAGGTTATAGTGTGATACTGACTCTTGCTTTTAAAATAAACATATTTTTGTCAGATGACTTGCAGGGCGCACAGTCAGAAATTGAGGCAAAACAAGAAATTCAGCATCTGCGCAAGGAATTGATTGAAGCCCAGGAACTAGCTAGAGCAAGTAAACAAAAATGCTTTGAACTTCAAGGTGAGATCAAGATTACTTTGATTCATTCTTTAGGGGACGTGGAAGCAATGTGATATCACTGAATCCAGAGGCGTGGTATCTTGTTCCAGATCCACAGTGTTATTGGATATGTGATCTTGGAACATTCACTTACCCTCCCTGAACTGGTATTTCAGATCAATAAAGTGGGGAGAGTCCCAGTTGCTCTACTTCGTTCCATTGTTGATGTGAAGATCAAGAAGGATCTGTACCAATAAAAGATCTTAACAGTTGATTATAAAGTACAACAAAAGGAAAAAACATCATGTATTTCACTTTCAAAGTTTTAGTTACACCTAATGTTGGCTCCTCAGTAGAAGATGAGGGAAGTTTACATTCCCTGTGATTTTATAGTGTATTCTTCAGTAAATGGGAGGAACCAGGCAAGATGAAAGTATAGAATCTCTCGCTGTGTCCCAACCACTTTCTTTTCTAGTAGTTTACTTATCCATAGTGTCATAGGCCGGTGGAGTCATAACTGTTATTCTCCAGAGCTTACATTTCCATATCTTTCGCAATAACTACCTAGTTGCAGTCACTAGTATCTTAGAAAGTTTTAGCAAAACAAAGAGAAAATAAGTGGCCTGTGGAGTCCTCATTGTTCTCTAAGATGGCCTTCCTGATCTGGAGGAAGATTCACATCCCCAGGAGGAACTCAGAACTTTCTGTTAGTCAGTACTTAACTTACCAAGTGCTTGACGGTAAACATAAGGGTTTTAAGTTTGTTTTTAAAACTTAAGCTCAAAAATGCTGATTAACAACTAGCAAGAATGCTTCTCATGTAAAAAATAGCACATATTATCTTGTTGATACAAGGTCTAGAAAACTCTGCTATTCAATTGAATAGATTTATTACTACTCTTTTGTGCTCCTAAAATCTTTAAACTATCTAACAGCTAATACTGATAATACTTACTCCTTAGCTTTTGTTTCCTTCTTAGAAACAAAATTTAATTTCTTAGAAATTTCCAGCTGCTCAATTCTGAATACTTCCATTAACTCACAAAATTAGATATACTGTATTTTATTTTTAGCTCTTTTGGAAGAAGAAAGAAAAGCCTATCGAAATCAAGTTGAGGAGTCCAGTAAACAAATACAGGTTCTTCAAGGTATGGAACACCTCGGGGCTATTAGGGTTTATTATGGTTTGTTAGTAGTGATTCAAAAGGAATGGAAAGTAAGAGTTGGGAGGATTCCCATTTTTCATGTCTTTGGTTTGTCCCTAGAATCTGAGACTATAATTAGACCTCTGGATAGGCTTTTTTTTTTTTTTTTTTTTTTTTTTTTAAGAAGATACAAGAGAAGATCCCCTAGTACTCCAATAGTAGATACTTCGATTGGGAAGAACATAGGTGAAGACATGGGTTTGGTAAAACTGTCACTTTCAGGGTTATGTAGTGAGTTACTACACAGGGGGCCTTTGGACAGGACACCAATTTGAACTGCTCTGTGCATCAGCACTTCTAGCTTGATGACATCATTTCTAATACACATAACACACTTGCATTACAACAAAAATTATATATCACATGGAAGAGCACAATGATCCCTGCCCTGCCTTCATTGGTAGAAGCTGTTCTTCATACCCACCATTTTGCTTTCTCTTTGTGTGGGCTATCCAGAAATGACCAGAAAGATCCCTGCCTGCCAAAGGTTTTCTTCTAACCAGAGTTCCTGTTACTGTTAGGTTCTAATTGTGAGAGCCCTAGGAGAAACCTTTCTTTCCCCTCCTATTGTAAAATTCCTAAAGCAAAATTAATTTGTCTTCACTGTCAAAGAAAGAACTAATGTTATGTTAAAGTTTTAGTTTGAGATGTAGGGTCAGAAGAAATTAAATAGTCAAGCAATCTCAGTTCAGAAAAAAAAAGAAATCACTGTCTGAGGCCTGTGATATTTGCTCTAAAATATCCCTGAGAAAAAGCAGTCTTCTGGGTTTTATTTTTGAGTGGGAATTTGAGTTATTTAAAAATTTAAGTTTTATTATGGTCAAGTTAGAATTTCTGGGATAGATTGTATATTTTTTTGAATAGAAAATTCTTTAAGCTCATTATAATTTAATGTTTTTATCCATTAGCTTATATAAATCTGATTTCAATCTATATTTCCATTCTGTACTATATATGGGCAATTTTCCCTAAAGATTCTATAACTAGGGCTGCCTTTTGGCTTAAAGTTGTCTTACCTAGTCATCATTGAGTGCCCCCTAGTGCCAGTATGTGTATTTCATGACTTCATCCGCAAGTGTATGGTCCTGTTCATCTCTGGCCATCATGTCTTTTCAGATTTTGAACCTGTTAACCTCTCAATGCTTCCTGCAAACTTTTTAAAAGGCCTAATTTTTTTAATGCTTATTTATGGAGCAGCCTTACCCTTTCTCAGCCTTTCTTCTTAATTATTCTTCTTTTCTACCCTAAGGAATTTTTCTACCTATAGTTTTCTTGTGTTATAGTAACCAAGACTAGTTTTCTGGTTCTGAACCAAGTATTTTATACAGATTGTTTCCAGTTCAAGTCTTGAGGGCACAAGACTAAATCTTAAAAATACACCTCCTTGATTAGGCAAGCATTCATTAATGTTGTCAGTTCATTAATTCAACCAATAATTCTTGGTTGTTTGCTAGTACTGAGGATAGAGTATGCAAGAGATGTACAGTCAGTGGAAAAGATAAACAGTAAGCAAATATATAATGTGATATCCAATAAAGGCAGAGTAGTAGGCTAGAGAATGAGAGGGCTATTTTTAGATAAGGCATCAGAGAAAGCTTCTTTAAGGAATTGATATTTGACAGAAAATTGAATCAAGAACATCAAACTAATGCATACCATCTGACCAAGCAATTCTGTGTTTAGGAATTCACTCTAAGAAAAAAATCAGGCTTGCGTTATAAGCATTATTTTTTATAGTAATTAAAAACTGAACAGCCTAAAATATTTAAAATAAAGGATTAGTCAAAGAAGTCACAGTGTAACTTTTTTGTTATTAAAAGATATTCATCACCAATAGGATAGAGAACACCATATATGTTAGAATCCCTCTCGTTTTTGCTTTTATATGTGTATAATTACATATAAAAAATCCAGAAGAATAAATACCAAATGTCAGAAGCAACTTTCTCTGTGTGAGAGAAATAAAAAGATCACTTTGGTTTTTTTACTCTCTATATTTCTGTATTTTGACATTTCTGCATTAAACATGGATTGCTTGTATAGTTTGTGATAACTACAGTCTTATTTGGGCAGTTCATTTATTTGTAATTGCTTTGGACATAGAAAATGACAGATAAATATCCTTTTGTAGCCCAACTACAGAGGTTACACATCAATATTGAGAATCTCCGGGAGGAGAAGGACAGTGAAATCACAAGCACTCGAGATGAACTGCTTAGTGCCCGGGATGAAATTTTACTCCTTCATCAAGCAGCAGAAAAGGCTGCCTGTGAGCGGGACACTGACATTGCCTCATTACAAGAAGAGCTTAAGAAGGTGCGAGCTGAGCTTGAGCGGTGGCGGAAAGCAGCGTCTGAATATGAGAAAGAAATCACAAGTCTACAAAATAGTTTTCAGCTTCGATGTCAGCAGTGTGAGGACCAGCAGAGAGAGGAAGCAACAAGGCTACAAAGTGAGTACACGTATTTTACATAAAACTCTTAATTCTTGACAGTGATAATTTGCACAAAATAACCATTTGGACCATTTTCTCTTTAGTCCAACAACGTGGACTAAAAACTATAAAGCGATGTTTTTATATTGGGGCTATAAAAATTCTCCAGGTCTGCAAGTTCTACAATAAATTGACATTTTTTACAATATTTTATTTAAATACTATTAGAATTATTTGCCATATAAAAGTGAATGGGAAGAAAATATTACTGAAGTTCAAGGTGATGGGACTTACCTGAGGTATAGATGCAAAATAAACAGGAATCAAAAAATAGCCATGTATTTGGTGGGGGGAAAGGTATGTTTTTCTCTGAAAGATTTCCCTTATCCTCTGAATTATTATGGAAATTATGTTCCTATATTAATGAATATGTTTTGGGACTATTTTAGGTGAACTAGAGAAGTTGAGAAAGGAATGGAATGTATTGGAAACCGAATGCCATTCTCTAAAAAAGGAAAATGTTTTGTTATCGTCAGAACTGCAGCGACAAGAAAAAGAATTGCACAAGTACGCAAGAACTCTTTTTTAGCTTCAAAATATTTCTTTAATTTTCATCTATTTTTTTTTTTTTTTGCTTTTTTTTTTTTTTTTCAACGTTTATTTATTTTTGGGACAGAGAGAGACAGAGCATGAACGGGGGAGGGGCAGAGAGAGAGGGAGACACAGAATTGGAAACAGGCTCCAGGCTCTGAGCCATCAGCCCAGAGCCCGACGCGGGGCTCGAACTCACGGACCGCGAGATCGTGACCTGGCTGAAGTCGGACGCTTAACCGACTGCGCCATCCAGGCGCCCCTTAAATTTTCATCTAAATTAAATTTAAATTTTATACTTAAATACCTTTTGGGAGCAATGTTCAGCCAGACTCTTTTTGGCTATTTGACAAGTTATGCACACTAACTGAATACTTCAGCAGTGTTTTATTTTTACTTCTACCTTCATCCTACATGTCCTTTCCTTTTGGTGTACTCAAGGAATATATATTCATGGAATACAACTCCCCATACAAAGCCCTGAACAAGCAAACAGCAAAGATATATAATCAGTGATTGAATTTGTCCTATAAACTAAGTGATAAAAATTTCAAATACAAGTTGTTTTTCTTTCATACCAATGATCCCTTCTGTTAGTAAGGTGATCAGAAGATTACTATAATAAAGAATTTGTAAGATTGAAAGATACAAATTCTGCTTTTGAATTTCACAGTTAGTTATATAAAGAGTAATAATATATAAGATCAATTATGTCTTTCTTTTTTTTTTTTTTTAAACGTTTATTTATTTTTGAGACAGAGAGAGACAGAGCATGAACAGGGGAGGGTCAGAGAGAGGGAGACACAGAATCTGAAACAGGCTCCAGGCTCCGAGCTGTCAGCAGAGCCTGACGCGGGGCTCGAACTCACAGACCGCGAGATCATGACCTGAGCCGAAGTCGGCCGCTCAACCGACTGAGCCACCCAGGCGCCCCTCAATTATGTCTTTCTAATATCCAGTACCTTACAAACAAACCAACGAAGGCAATAAATTTATTCCAGCAAATTTAGTGGACTCCTGCTTCCCCACCAACATTTGATGTATAGTTTGAAGTTAATTTCTTCCTGGGGCTCCTAGATGGCTCAGTTAAGTGTCTGACTTCCGCTCAGGTCATGATCTCACGGTTCGTGGGTTCGAGCCCTGTGTCAGGCTCTGTGCAGACAACTCAGAGCCTAGAACCTGCTTAGAATTCTGTATCTCCCTCTCTCTCTACCCCTCCACCACTTGTGCTCTGGCTCTCATAAATGAATAAACATTTTAAAAAAATTAAAATCAAGCTCTTAAAAATTTGATCCATTCCATATTTTTATTTAAACAATTTTATGTTCTAATTCAGAATGTGAAAGTAGTACATGTTTACTACATTAAAAAAATTTTAATGTTTATTTTTTGAGAGAGAGACAGACATAGAGTGCAAGTGGGGGAGGGGCAAGAGAGAGGGAGACACAGAATCTGAAGCAGGATCCAGGCTCCCAGCTGTCAGCACAGAGCCCAATGCAGGGCTTGAACCCACGAACCATGAGATCATGATTTGAGCTGAAGTTGGACGCTTAACCGGCTGAGCCACCCAGATGCCCCTGTACATGTTTATTATTGAAGTTACTCTTAATTAATCCATCTCCCTCCCCACAATACACCATAAATGGGAGTCCTTACTCTCCTGTTAACCTTGTGTTTATATCCTCAAGAGCATCAAGGTTAGCAAAAACTTAGTGATCAAGGTAAGTTCCCATAAAAATAAGCTTTAGGGGAAAACAATAAAGAAAGGACTAGATATATCAGAAAATGGTAAGCCTCATCTGCTCCTAAAGAGTAGCAATTGCAGTAGATAATACATTTTGAAAAATCAAGAACGATTGAAGGAACAAGATGTGTAGATTTATTCTGTAAGATGGCTTCTTATAATACCATGTGTTATCAATACTCTAAAACTTCTTTCTCTTTCAGTGTCCTGTCTTTCCAGTCTTTTGTACATCTGTGCAATACACATTTATGTGTTGTACTTTTTAAATGTTCAGAGATAATTAATAACAAAGAGTAAATATGTTTGTAACATCTAAAATTTTGTAAAAACAGTTCCAAAATCTGAACAGGACAAAATAAAGGCCCAGACACAACTATACATATGTGAATGTTTATGTATGTACCAACTGATGTTTGTGTTAACAGCACATTTGGGCAAGTTGTTTGGTATAAAGTGATTGTAAGGGAGGCAGACACGCTCAAATTCTTTATATTTGGAATCTTAGTGAATCCATTTAGTTTGGTATTCTATCATAAGCAAGAAATACTTATCTTTGGGGTGCCTGGGTGGCTCAGTTGGTTAAGCATCCAACTCTTGATCTCAATTCAGGTCCTGCCCCTGATGTTGGGTTCTACATTAGGAGTGAAGACTACTTAAAAAAAAAAAGAAAAGAGAAGAAATACTGATCTTTGATTACTAATATTGATTATCTGAAATTATTCCTGCTTTGGGAATTATTGATATTTTAAAGATTTAAACCTGATCCCTCATTCTTAAGATGTAATTAATCGGAATCTGGCAGATTTTTAAGTGCTGTTTTTTAAATTACTTCAAATTTTGTTGAAGCATCGAAAAGCAACAAACTCCTTATGAGTTAGAAACATACATCTTATAAAAATATTAGGTCCCAGAAGGGTGGAATATATTATATCATTAGTCAAGGTTGTCTGCCTAAAGTCACAAACTATTTAAGACAAATTAATTCTGTTTCTTAAGCTTTTCTGGTTTAGTGGCCCTCTCAATTTATTTGGTAAGCCACCTCAGCATTTAAGGAGTGTTTAGAAGTTAGTCTTTCTTTACAGAGTCTTCTATGTCATTTAGTTCCTAGCTATATTGGGCTGACATCACACTCGCCCCTAAGAATTGGCCTGGCATACAGTCAGAATGGGATTTACGCTCCATAGTGCCTTGGTTAATAATATTGAGCCTGAATCTTATGATCCATTCTGAGAAGCATAAAACTGTCATTTTGAAAACTTTATTCTTCTTTAGCTATTTCTGTTGTAAATGGGAGCCACATTCTTTCAAACAGCTACACTATTTAGGTCTTTTGTTTTTTGTGATGCACAAGGAATTGAACAAAGAATTTCTGTTCATGCCTATCAAGCTGTTTTTGTAGTGTGTAAATTGGATTTTTTTACATCAAGTTATAAAAGTAATTATAGAATTTAAGCCGGAAAACAACCTCCAAAATTACTGAGTTCAATCTTCTTATTTGACGATGGAGGGCACTGAGACTCTCCTTGTGTTATTTGTGTCTGTGTAACATGGTGCCTGGCACAGATCTAAGAGCTTAGGAAATGCTTGCTCAGAGAAGTAAACTGCACCAATTAAGTGACTTGCTCAACATCTTACAACTTAATAGTGGCAGAGCTAGGGTCTAGAACCCAGCCTCCTGGTTCTTTGTTTCATGCTCTCTCCCCAATTTGGTGTGTCTTTTTTCTTTACTTGAATTGACAGTGGCTCCTAAGCTTTAAGTTTCTATTTGTCCAGTACTTAAGTAAATAAATAGTTGAAAAGTGTGCTATTTTCCTGGGGAAGCCCCACACTGTATCTTTTCATAATACAATTAATATAACGTGATGTAACAAAACATGCAGTTAGTCACCTCCTACTTCTACTTTCAAGATTTCAGCCTCTGTGTATATTTGATAATCTGAAAATAGAACACAGCTTTAAACATGCGATTTTTTAGTGTATAATGCTTTTTATTTATTGAATGTATCTTATTATTTTTTATGTACTTTTTCCTCCTCTGAAATTTACTCCATCCCTCCTAGTGAAATGTATAAGAAATTGGACTTCCTGCTATGTCTAGTTTCTACATGAATTGAATAACTGTTAATATTTATGTTGCAGTTCTCAGAAGCAGAGTTTAGAGCTTACCAGTGATCTCAGCATCCTTCAGATGACTAGGAAAGAGCTTGAGAATCAAGTGGGATCTTTGAAAGAACAGCATCTTCGGGATTCAGCTGATTTAAAAACTCTTCTCAGTAAGGCTGAAAACCAAGCAAAGGATGTACAGAAAGAGGTAAAGCGAAAAGACATTATGAGCCCAATTATGGTTGGACTTAAAGCCAAAAGCAAATCAGATATTCATGCTAGTTAGAAATAAAGGGAAGCAGAAGTCCCATTACCTGTCACAAAGTTGATAATTGGAGCATCTCTGCCTGGTGATTTCTAGCTGTGTATCATGGTCCATATATAGAGAATTCATTAGTAGACTTTGGTCTCAAAAATACAAATATACAAAATTACATTAAAATTTTTTCTCTACCAGTTAGTTGACTTATATGAGAAGCCCTTTGTACCAGATTCCTCAATTCATTGTTTATCTTTCAAAGACAATATCATATTTAATTTGGAATACTTTTGGAAAACAAAGTGGGGCCTTACCGTAATGCTGTCTAAACCCCTCAGTGAAACTGGCCTGAAAGTTACTTAAAATTCACCTCATAGCCAGCCAGCCAAACACAGATCCTGTGACCTTTTACTTTCTTTCTCCCTCACCTCCACCCCTTTTTCCCCTTCTTCCCTTCTTCACAAATATGCATGCTCACTTTTCATATCATTTGGCCTAAAACCTTGACTTGATTTTGGAGTAGAGACCTCACCCAGCCTCTTTCTGAGCAAAACCTTGAAGTTGACAATGAGGCAATGAGAGCTACATTCAGTCTTGCTACCTTATCCTCCCTGCATTGAGTCCTGGCCAGCCCAGGGGACAGAGAAGGCTGGTGCATCTTGACCTACTGGTCAGGGCCCACCCCAGTTATAGACTGACACTCTCTCTCTCTCTCTCTCTCTCTCTTTTTAATGTTTATTTATTTTTGAGAGAAACAGAGAGTGCATGCACGAGGTAGGGAGGGGCATAGAGAGAGGGAGACACAGAATCTGAAACAGGATCCAGGCTCAGAGCTGTCAGCACAGAGCCCGATACGGGGCTTGAACTCATGAGCCTTGAGATCATGACCTGAGCCAAAGTCAGACAGTTAACTGAGTGAGCCACCCAGGCGCCCCAGCTGTAGACTCTCTTAAATGAAAGATTCATTATACATAGAAGGAAGTTGAAGACAACTCTTTGTCTTTAATAACAAATTTTCCCAAAATTGTTTTTAGAAGATCTGTTTAATCCAGTTTTTCTTTGCACTTCCCTTTCCTTGTAGTATCCTGAACGTGGACATGATTATTGTTCTTCTGTCTTCATGTTTGTTCTTAAAGAAAAAAAACTGTAACATTTTTTATTTACATGTGGCCATATTGATTTTGTAACATGTCGTTTTTATCTTCTGGCTAAGGATATGCATTTTGGGAGAAATCTCATTTAGTTGGAACACAAATTTTGTGCCAAAGTAAATATCCTAGTATTTAATACTGTAAGCACTTTGTGCCCTTCCAGTCCATATGCCATAGTCCTTTCAAAATCTGGGAAGAATGCTGTGGTTGCAAGATGACTCTGTTGTATGTTACTATGAATGCACTGGCCATTGTGTTGCATTATTTGTTTGCCTGTCTTTGGTCACTGAGCAATCAGTGAGAAATGCTTTAACTGCTTCCTCAAATGGCAGTGGCATGTTGTCACAGCATCTAAATTGTTGACAGCTCTGGATTGCATTAAATGCAGCGCATTTAAAAATATGTCTGAACTTGTCAATATGTTTCTTTTCTATTTTCTTGTTCAGTGTTTTCCATTGTGAAATGATGTGTAGTCATCACACTCCTTTGTAATGTAAAATTGCTTCTCTTTCCGTTTGTCCTGTCGTCAACTATTGGACACTAGTCTGTAACTAAAATGGTCTTTAATGAGATTCTTTTATCTGTGTAATCCACTGCAAATGAATTACTACTTTTTACTAATGCACATATATTCTCTTTCAACATTTCCCCTTTGTTCTCCTTTCTCTCATAGAATCATGCTTAATGTGCACAGTATCATGTATCTTCAGCACTGTAACAGGCTAAACTATTACAAGCTAAGCAAGCCAGATATGATTATTTTTATGAAGAAGAACCAAAGGTGTTGTTGGTAATATTGTGTGGTATTTCCCTCTTACTCAGAACTGAGCTCGTTTCTTACCTTCGAGTTAGAAAGCAAGATGGAGCAAAAATGATATCCAAGCCAGGTGTGAAACTAAGGCTGCAGAAGGTGACCTTTGTTCCAACAATTAAGTTTTATATACATGGCAACTTTTATTTGAACATTTAACCAAAAAGAAAGTACATAAGAAAGGAAATTTGAATCTTCAGTATTAAGAGGAAATAATGGTATATTATCTTTATATTTGATTAAAAGCATCTTTATACTTGAATTTAGTAGGGATATCTATAACTTAAGAATTCATAAAATGTTGAGTATACAAGTCAGTCATGCAAAGACTGCCTCAGGAAAGTTGTTTGGCTTCACCACCTGGCTGTGGAGCAAGGGCCTGAGCCCTTGCACAGGCTGAAGGTAAACAGCAGGCACTCCCTGACTGGCTGCCTTCCTGTCACTCTGCTTCACACCCCCTGGAATGGAGAAATGATTAAGTGCTTTGGTGTAAAGGGCAAGCTGGATGTAAGAATAGTGGAAAAGGAACGTAAGGGAAAATTTAGGTCAGCAAAATCACTGTTAAGAATCAGATCATTGAGAACTGATTATGTTCTAAAAGACTAGTCTAGGTATGCTAAATTTGCTTTGGCAGCCTGCCAGCAGCCTTCCGCCTTCTGGAAGGAAGTCCACAGACCCCACAAAAAAAGTTGTCATAAAGTCCATGAATCTTACTCCTTGGTTCATTGTCTGGCATAATACCTGGCCTTTTCTGGGAATGTTGTTAGGTAACAGGGAGTTCCCTTCACATTTTACCTCCCTCTCTACACCCATATCTTTATTCCCATTTACTGGTGATCTCTCTGCTGACCCTAATCCCCCTGCTCTCACCTCTTCTGACTAATGTTTTTATACATTTGCATCCTGCTTCATATTTATCTTTGGAGTGCATAATGACGAGCTCCTAATTAATTACTCCAAAGTATTTGCATTATTCAGAAGCACCACGTAAAGGTGTCTTTTATTGAGAAATTTCTGGGATATAGGAGGAAAAAGGAGAAACCTTTCTGGTATGCTGGACCCATGGTATATTTATATTCTACTCAGCCATGTCTGTCTGTCTTCCTTCTAAAAACCTTCAGAGATGGGAGAGTGGGGCAATGGAGGCTGAGACAAAGGCATAACCAGCAGCAGAACGGTTTTTGTTCTGTGACTGGGAGCCCAGCTTTCATGTAAGATGCAGTATCTAGAAGTAGAACCAATCTAGAATTCTTGCCTCCTGGGCCATTTAAAGTAGGGGCAAACTATGCTGTGTCTTGCATTGACCTCACCAGTGTTCATAGGATACACAAGTCTGTCTGAACATTAAATTATATTCAGTGAACTGATTTTCAGAGCAAGAAGTGGCATGTTTCACTATAGAAAAGTATTTATCAGGAACAGCTTCTTAAAAATTATTTATTGATGCTTATAAGTTTTAGGTAGGAAGATAGAAATGCCTCAGTCATAGTGGTCAGTACTTTAGATCTATTTCTTTACTTCATTTGCCTAGAAATTCATTATCCAGAACACTTTAATACCCAGTGATGCTTGGGTAAAAGAAAGTCTGATGGGAGTTAATACTTTTTACTTCAAGAGTAAAATAGCTTGGCTGACATTGGTTACCAGGATATAAACTCAGACTTCCTAATCTCACCATTTAATTAGCCTTCGGAGTTTTTCTTCACTTGCCTTTCTTTTGGCTCAGTTTGAAAATTACTTTACTTTTCTCCTCTAATTCACTTAATGGAAAGAGTGACCCTTTATATTAGAAACAGATGACACAATGGTGATCTCTCTCTCTCTCTCTCTTTTTTTTTTTTTTTTAACTCCAGGGCCAGAAAGTTCTTACATAGAATAAAGTTAACATGAAAGACTTCCTATTATTAGTGAAAATGATTCTTATCCTCCTTAAAACAAAAAGGCTTGACTTTGGTGTTGCAGGTGGCTAAACAGGGTCTGGTATTAAGCCTGAAGAGAACCATAACTTCCTACCCGTTTTAAGTTGAGTCTGCACACTCTTTTTTCTTTGCCTTTAGTATGAAAAGACACAGACTGTACTCTCAGAACTGAAGTTGAAGTTTGAAATGACTGAGCAGGAAAAACAATCAATCACAGATGAGCTCAAACAATGTAAAGACAACCTGAAGCTGCTCCGAGAGAAAGGAAATAATGTAAGTCTTTGCAAACCTGGCTTAGCTTTGACTGAGAGGCAGGTGAAAGCCCTGAGATAGAGTTTTCAGAAGACTTTATTACTGATTTGAGAAACTGAGGCCTGTAGTATGTAAACTAAGCTTTTCGTTATGAAATTCCATGATGGAATCATTGTACTCTCAAATTGTTGAGTAAAAATCTGCCCCTTTAACCTGTATCCCTATGAGAGCCTGAGGACTGCCTGGAGGAAGAGCCTTATTTGCAAGAAAATAATCTACCTAAGAACTGTCAGATTTTCCCCAGATGAATCTGAAGTTCTGTCACCAAGCCATCATCTGGCGCTTCATTTCCCCTACTGGGAAATGAAGCACTGTACCACCAGGGACCCACCTAAGAAAGAGTGGTACATGTCGACTCCTCAGCACTTGGCTGTACCAAAAAATGGAGACCTAATTATGGTTTTCATTTTACACTAATAATGTTCTCACTAAGGCATATTCCCAAAAAGCTTGGCGTCTTTTTGACCTCCTATAAATATTAGGGAATATTTGGCGAGTTTCTGTAAAGCCGTGTGTGTGTGTGTGTGAGAGAGAGAGAGAGAGGGAGAGAGAGGGAGAGAGAGAGAGAGAGAGAAATTGGAACGTTTTCACATAAATTGAGTTTAATATTAATTTGTTTTTCATTTACTAGAAAGGCAGATAGTCTTTAAAAAGATGTTATACTAAATATATGTTGTGTTATTATATGTTTCGGTGATCATTGCCTTTGTGGGACCTAACTGATGGCTGTTCAGTGTAGTTGGTTGTGCTCTGACTTATTTCAAATCCCTGTCATGGCTTGGACACTGCAGTGGTGTAAGCCACACCCTTCCTACAGAGGAAAACACTCTGCTTAATTTTGCCACACAAGTACAAAAGAGTGATGTTGCATGGCCATTCAATTATGCAGTTGCACACAAAATGTTCATGAGTTGTGTCCAACTGTCCTTTGCTATTAGTTTTTTAGAATATAAAGTCTTGTTGCTTAGGCGGAAGCCTTTGAGAAGTTGATAAATTGGGAATGGAGGCTTTATGCTAAGCAAAATTGATTGCATTTATTTTGAAAATGTAGATTACAGACCTCTTCTGAAATCAGATCATAATGGTTTGGTTATTTCTCTCTTTTGTGTTAAATCATATCTTTCTGAATTTGGAATTTCAGTCCACCTTCTACTAAATTAACCTACGAAGACATCTAGCATAATCAGAATGGATACCCCTGTACTGTTTAGAACCTTTTCAAAAGTAACCTGGCTTTTATTATTTATAGGTGTATCAATAATTTGCCTAAAAGGTGAATTTCCTTTTTTTTATCATATTAGACTTATGATAATAAATTTTTCTCTGCAGTAAAACTCATTGCAGTAACTCCATCCAATTTTAAAAATTAATTCTATTCTGGTAACATAACTGAAAGCCTTGAGACTCAACTGCCTGTCTTTATATATCAAATGTTTATCACACATTGTGTCAGATCTCTTGCTCAGTTTAGGAAGGATACATCACAGGGCATTTATTTTTAAGCTTGAAAGCAATACCATCTCAGGCAAGCGAGTTTTGGTTTTAAAAAAAGGTTTTGATGGAGGGATAAAATAAACTTTAGCCACTTCCAAGGGACTACATTGTCAAATAATGGATTCCAAATACGGAACAAAAAGAATGTACTGTCAAGCAGAGCATTGGTCGCTGAAGTGTCGCCGTGGCTCTGTCTTAACATGGTACATTTCATTAGCGTGTTGGGGCACCCACAGTGCCCTTTGCTCCCAGATGTCCCTTTAAACTGGTGGTTACATACCGCAGTCTGTCATTCTGGATTGTATTAGATGTCTTTAAAATGTTTGAAATCAGTTCAAAACCTGAGTGCTATTACTTCTTTTACCTCAGTCTTCCTACCCTCCTTCCCACCTCCCGGGGTCTAAATCATCTTATCTGATTTTTTTTTTATAGCATAAAATGATTTTAATATCCCTTCCCTTCTTTAGCCTTCCATATTACAACCCGTCCCAGCCGTATTCATCGGCCTATTCCTGGCTTTCCTGTTTTGGTGTTTCGGTCCATTGTGGTAGAGAAAGGTACAAGCACTACTGTTGAGTCCTTGTCTGTTTGTCCCCGTCACCTGTTTGTGCCATATTTGTAATATAGTGCATGGCAGAATCACACAGGTATTTTGTTACCTGAAGCAAACCCTTCATTTAGTATGCCATGTATTGTGTCATACAAATGAACTGAACAATCAACTAATCACATAACATTTTGTCTTGTTTCCTTTGTAGTGATGCTAACCATGAATTAATTCCAACCTAACCAGTTGTTAATGTGCTGCCTTTAACTGAGTCTTTGTCTCTAGCAAACCGGAATACACTATGAATTGTTGCAATATTAGCACCCCCCTTCCCAATTACGTTTAATCAGATTTGAATGAGAAATGAAGCGTTTGCCTCTTTGAAGTTTTCAGCCAGCTTTCTTCCCCCTCCTCCTTTCCCTCTTCTTTTCTGTAGTGTAGAATTTCTTCATTTCAACCCTTTGCCTGTATTTATACTGTGGCTATGAAGATGAAAAAGGATGAGATTAGCATAACGGACCAGTAGCTCATGATCTCAACCCCAGTGTGCATTTACTTATGCGAGTATAAACCTAGCCCATATCTTTCTGAGACGTGATCTGCAACATCAGAATATTTCTTTAAAAGCCAACTTTCTCAGTGAGACTCTTAGAACATGAGTGGAAAATAGAGCTATCAACCAGACCACAGTGATCTTATAAGGCCCTCCAAAAGCTAACAGGGAACAGCCTGCCCATGCTTGCCTGCAACAGGCATGCATGTTAGTAGATCATATAAGATAATCATGTGACATTACTGCACTGGACATGGTTTTTACCAAAAGTATCAAAGAGACAGCGTCCTAATAGCTCTTCCCCATCTTGAACCCCATCTGATCTTGTCTTCTGTGGTTTCAAATTAGAGGATCAAAGCTTAGACCATTTTCTTTCTATCACCTTACCCACCAGCTCCTTCTGTAAAACTATCCCCACATAGAAATCTGGTTTTTATCAAGAAATAAACATTAAAAAGCGAAGAAGAAGAAATAAACATTTTAAGCAGACATATATTCCAGGCATCTGTGTACATCAGTTAGTTGCAATATTTGGACACTGGAGTAAATAAAGCAGGCTGAGCCCACAGGGTTTCTTAGGGGTCACTGTTAGGTTTCAACTGTAACAAAATTGAAAACTGCTCAAGACTTTCCTGAGCTATACGTGGCTTCCACACAATGGTCCTCTAAAAGCGTTCCTGCTATAATGGTTCTCCTCACACCTGCACTCCCTCACCTGTTTTCTTCTCTTTTTAAAATTTATTCTTATGCAAAGATAAGGTTTTTCTAATATTCTGTTAAGTATTCAGGACTCTCTGGAACCAAGGGGTTAGTAGGTATGAAAAGAGAGGGAAGAATGTGATATTGACTCTCGGTTTCTTTCCACACAGAAACCCTGGCCCTGGATGCCCATGTTGGCTGCCCTGGTTGCGGTGACAGCCATCGTGCTGTACGTGCCAGGTCTGGCCAGAGCTTCTCCATGAGAGCGTTTCTTGAGTCCGTACACCGTCCTCCCTTTAGAAGCTGGCATCACACTCATGCTGGGGACAAACAGAACCATTTTCTTCCTTTTTACCTCTTAAGACAGCAGAAGTGCAAGAATACAGCTGTAGGGTCATTGCTTTAACTTATATAAAATGTATCTATCTATAAAGAGGATATAAAATTGTGACTTTATTCTACTGTAAGCAATAATTTGCTTGCAATTTTTCATGTAATTTTTAAATTAGTATGTTGAGATTCTGAATATTATGGTGGCCTAAAGTAGGCTTCTTGGTACACCAAATTATTTATAACATTAAATTTATGGGTATTTTACTCTGAATTCTAATGGCCAGATAATTCATTTTTCTGATTCGATAACTACCCAAACCAAACAACCAACACATACATGGGAAGAGAGGCCCTGTGTGCTCAGTGCCTATCAGTTTGAAATATATACACATATATATATATTTTTTACATATTTACGCCATTTTTACTTGTTATAAAACCACTGAGCTATTGGGAACAAGACTTAGAGACAACTATTTGCGTGGATTTTCTTTCTTTCTTTCTTTTTCTTTCTTTTTTTTTTTTTTTTAAGAAGAAATACACTTGGAAAATATTCTGTTCTAGTGATAATTTGGGGAATATGTGCACGCTTGTTCAGCCTTAATGTGACTTGACGATGTGGAGGACATCAACTTTGAAAAACTTTCCATGAGAGTGTGTATTTTCTTGAGCAAACTGAAGTATTTCTGGGAGCAAAAACAGTAATTCTACAATTTCAGTGCAGTAAACCAAACTGTTGAGTCAATTGGAATGCAATTTATTAAACCTCATGTATTTAAAGAGATATTTTCTTTAAAAGCCAAGTTACTTTCTCATATACAGCATTTTAGGAAGCATGATTTTTTTTTTCTATCATCTCTTCCTCCAAGCATGTTTAATTGAAGAAAGAATTAATATCTCTTTAGATAAGCTTTTACTGACTTAATTTGGTTATGATATTTCAAAGCTAATTCATGTTCACGGTGAGCTGTTGTTACCTACCAACAGATTTCCTGGTCCGGTATGCAAATGGTTATTTTCTTTTTACTGTTGTTAATTGGGACATTCTGTTTACGAGAAGCATTATTCCCAAGATTAGTAGTGTTCCATGCACAGTGAAGCACCTAAAAGCACTGCTTGATGTTATAAATTTAAAACACAGAAGTGAAAGTTTAGCTATGGTTTTGTGCGGCACCACAGTTATGTCAATAAAATTTATTTAGGTCATAGAATATCCTAAAGTATCACCTAGTTAAATTTTTCAGTCAGCGCAACTGGGAGGGAATGTCAGTGAATTGGCTCGAATGTTCTGTGGCCATCCACAGGACTAGCCAAGTGTTGAAATAGAAGTTTAGGATATAATTTGCCTTGTGATGTTTGGCAGTCGTTGTTTATACTTTAAAGGTTATATTTTAAGCTATTTGGGATTTGCTGTTGGGAGTATCACTAGATTTATGGAGGAATTAGTCACCAATGACTTGTAGAAAATGCTGTCATATAGTTCATTTCATCATTTTCTGTTGCAGGAAGCCACTCCACCACAGAATGCTAATATGCCAGTGGTACCCAGTACCTCTTGTATATAGGTTATTGCAAATATTGTTCTGAAATGCTTAACTTCAGAATTACATTTTTTAAAGTAAATAATTGTTTTAAATCTATTTTGTAAAGATATAAAGTACAATAGAATTTCTGGAGTACAGATTAAACTATTTGCACTAACACACGTGATGTGCATGATTTAATAAAATAACTTTACTCTCCCTATGCATTTTTGAGTTGGATATCATTGAAATTCTTAGTGTTGACTCTACTGTTAGATTGTTAATAGTCGTTTCTTGAAATGACTCTTTATGCACCGTAATATATATTTGGTGTTCTTCAGGGGTTAAAAGAAAACACTGAGCTGTTGCCTTCAAGTTTTATTAGCCTTTTATTTAATTTGCTGCTCTAATTTTTCCCCTTTTACTATGGTTATTGTTAAAACGCGACTCACTTGCCAGACAAGTCTCTTTAAATGTAAAGTCTAGTATCAATATTTACTTTATTCAAATTGAATTAATGGGTTTTTGTAGTTACTGCCAGTTTTTCTTAAGAATATGAATGAGCCTATTCATAAGCAGTACCTCCAGTTTTGTTCAGTTCACTTCCAGGTTAAATAAAGAATAGGATTGTTCACTGGTAGTGATAGTCATTAAGAAATGTTAATCGTAGTAGTTAAGATTGAACAACCCTGTAATGATACATTGAAGAATTACTCAGAGGTGCTACATGGCTAGCTCAGAAAAGGAAAGGAATGTGGCTGGTGAAGCTAAACAGATCCTTATTGGCATCCTGGCTCTGCCTTTTATCAGCTCTGCTGCCTTGGGCAAATCACTTATTTTCTCCGAGCCTCCATTTCCTTGTGTATAAAATGGAGAGAATAATATCTATGTGTTTAGTGGTAGTATGAAAAGTAAAAAGATGATACACGTGAAGTGTCATCCAAGTGGTAAATGAGAGTTTATGAGAATGTCACACTGGAAAAGCTGCCAATATGTAAGTTTTAAGTGAACCAGTCAACTATTTAAATGAATTGACCCAACTATTGAGACTTTCTGTGCATGTGAACGAGATGTAACTGCAGCGTTAGGAATCCTGAGAAAGTGGCGTCACCTAGCTCTGTGTGTCCCCTTCATGGTTTTGTCTTTGGGAAGTAATATGCTTAGTTTGATAATGGGCCAAAGCTTACAACAGTTTGGAATTCCTGTTGCAACTGCCTTCAGAGCCACGTTGAGTCACATGTGAAAACCTGTCACACTGCTGAATAGTCAGTGGCTTGCAACTAAAAATAGTATCGCCTCCCTTGATCTCTGACTGTAATCACCAGATTCTACCCCAGCTGACTCTTGGCTCCTTCTAGTGGCTATATCTACTGTCAAAAGATGGAGATCTGCTACATACAAACTACCTACAAATCAACTTTGTTACAAATGTACAGCCTTGTTTCAAAAAATTCACTTCTGGAAGTTCTGAGAACATAATATGTGTGCACTAAATGGTAATTACCAGGACATTTAATGTAGCTTTTTTTTTGGGGGGGGGGGGTAATAGTGATGGGTAAATAACCTAAATATCCAGGATTGGGTCATTGGTTAAATAAATTGATATTGCCACCCAATAGATTACTGTGCTTGCAAAGTATATGAGAAGATACTCATACTATATTAAGGTAAAAGCGAGAAGTTGCCAGTGTGGAATAAAGCTGGTTTTATAAAGAAAACAACGTAGACAGATAGGATATGTTTATAGAGGACTCAGATTTACACTCAAGCTAAGTAGTGGTTTTGTCAGTATGATTGTGGGTAGGTTATCTTCTCCTTTTATGATTTCTGATTTGTTTTTAGTAGCAAATATATATTACTTTTGTGAATTTTTAAAAAGCTATATTTGGTTTTGCTTTAAATTAGAAACAAAAAGAATTCTCCAGAATTCCAAATTGGTTTTCATAATTGAATAACTAACTTGTCAAAGTACCTACATTTTTTTTTATTTTTTTTTTAATTTTTTTTTTCAACGTTTATTTATTTTTGGGACAGAGAGAGACAGAGCATGAACGGGGGAGGGGCAGAGAGAGAGGGAGACACAGAATGTGAAACAGGCTCCAGGCTCTGAGCCATCAGCCCAGAGCCTGATGCGGGGCTCGAATTCACGGACCGCGAGATCGTGACCTGGCTGAAGTCGGACGCTTAACCGACTGCGCCACCCAGGCGCCCCAAAAGTACCTACATTTAAAGGAACTAATGTTCATTTGCACTTATGAATTCTGGTGTATTCATTTCAAAATTAGTTGAAAATTCATTTCAAAAACATGCTTTGTGCATGCGTGTATGTAGAATGCTGGAAGAGGCCTTAGCTAGCCATCCGTTTTCACCTTTTTGCCTATCTGGGGAAAAAAATCCAGAGAATTTTTGACTCCAAGTCGGAATAATTGTTACAGAGTTGTGAATCAAGAGGATTACTTCTTTTTTTGCTACTCCATTTTGTATCTCCAGACTTTGATGGTTTTATATCCGTTCATTTAGCAAATATTTATTGAGTGACTAGAATGAGGCACTCTGCTAGGTCCTGACATTACTCAGCCCCTCTCATCACAAAGCTTTTGGGGTAGAGGGGAAATAAAGGCAAGGAAGTCAGCGTTTACAATACCATGCACTAGAGGAAGATGTAGGAGCCGGTGGGACTGTTGAGGAGGTCCTCACACATTTCCTATCACTTTCAGCCCCCCAGCCATCCAAGCCAGAGACATCTGGCTATGGAGCCAAAGGTGAGTTTCCCTTCTAGGAAGTCAGGGTAACAGGACTGGTTTTTCTCGAAGTACCTGGCTTTGCAAAACCATTAAGATCTGAGACTGATTTTCCTAGAAAAGACATTGTGATTGGAAAGCATTTTTACTTTCCTGGAATTTTGCCCTGTTAAATGGTCTGAACTCTACCTTCCAAGTAACAGGTTAGGGTTAAGGGTTGTGGTTTTTTTTAATATAAAGGTTTTTTTAACATTTATTTATTTTCAGACAATGAGGAGGCACATGAACAGGGTAGGGGCAGAGAGAGAGAGAGGGAGAGAATTCCAAGCAGGCTCTCTGCTGTCAGTGCAGAGCCTGACACAGGCTCCAACCCATAAACCGTGAGATCATGACCTGAGCCCAAATCAAGAGTCGGATGCTTAACTTACTGAGCCAAGCAGGCTCCCCGCCCTCCCCCCGCCCCTGCTTTTTTTTTTAAAGCCTGTGAAGTATCATAACCAGACAGGTTCTTTGAAAGTAATCTTCCATGAATGGGCTGGGGCATGGATTGGAGGGAGGCACCAATCAATAATCCCTTGCACATGGCAGCACATGTTCACCATATCTTACTGCATGTGTTTACAGTGTTTACAGTGCTGCTCATTCAGGAGATTAAGCAGCTCTATATTTCTTCCTAAAGATTAAGCATGTTTCAGCCCAGATCTTGTAATACATAATTTACTATCCCTATCATGCAAGGACACTGAGATGAAGCCTATGAAAAAAACAAGAACATTGAAAATAAGTGAAAAGCCGAAGGGACTGGGGGTGGAGGTGGGGGAGTAAAAGAACTTTTGCTGGTTGTGCTTCTTCCACTGTCTACAGACACTCTTCACTTCATCTTTTCATTCTGGCCTCTTGAATTGGCCCAAGTACATCTAGGTAGCCAGACTTCATTTAGCAGAGATTAAAACCTCCACTCTGTGAAATCACAGCCCACAGGGGCTTTTTTGTTTGTTTTTTATCCTGAATTCTTATGTGTGTAGTCATCCCATCATCGTGTTCCACATAGAATTTGAAGCAGGCACACCTGCTTGAACAGCATACCTGCCCTCTTAAATGGCAGGGATCCATTTCTGTGAGGCTGGGAACACTTCCTGGTGCCAGGCTCTTCAAGCAGCCGGGGAAGGAGCACCAAAGGCATTAAAAACCTC